ACACACACACACACACACACACACACACACACACACACACACACACAGACATCACTTTTCCATCTCTCCCTCTCTCTTTGGCGCCAAAGGCTGAGGTGTAGAGGATTGAATGTGAACATTGCCAAGGATATTTGGCTATAAGAAGGTCATTGGTCACTTTGAACAAGGCTGTTTCTCTCTGTGGTGTTATTTCAAAGCATGATCCACATTTTGATTAAACATTGTACATGAAGATGTGTATAAGGGAATGCGGTTGAGTGGTCATAAAAGAATACAAGATTCTGCCTGTCAGCAGAAATACGCAAAAGCACCCAGCGTGTATAGATTTTAAAGAAACTAGAGTGATTAAGGTTTCCGTCTTGCCCCGCTGTAATATTGACAGGCTGCAAGGCCAGTGGAGGAGTGCACAGCTGAAACTGTTTCAAAACGGCACAGATTTCGGGGGCAGGAGGACACACATGGATCAACATTCACACACAGACTCAGAGAGCATTAACACACACAGGGAATAGCCTACAAGCTGTTAAAATATCACAGTGGATTTTACTCGTGCTGAGACAACAAGAAAGAACAACTATATACACACCAACAAAGCCACACACACACACAGAGATAAGTGATCACAGCAGTGCCGTCCCACACTGTTAACCACAGGGCCTGTTGGTAGGGAAAACCCTCTGCTGCACACCTGGTAGATCTGTTCAGTCATCCAGGGTGTGGCGTTCAACCAAAAAGTTGAAGTCAATCCACTGGACTTGTTATCAGATGATTGAAATGTTTCACTGATCATTTGAAAGGCTTCAGCGTCAGCTCTTGACATCAGATGGAGAAAACCTGGGCATCGATCCCTGTGGAGCTGCCATGCCTCCTGATGAGCTGCCCGAGTGGGTGTCCTCAGCCACGTCGTCATTCAACAGGAGGTAATGCCGAGGGTTTTCCTCACCTGGTCTCAAAACTCAAGGAGCCATTTGTACGAAAGGTGGAGCATAATTAACCGTTCAGCCAAGTGGTTTGTTTTCTATTTCTCTGATCATCAAAGTGGCAAAACTGCAACTTTGAGCCTGTAACCTTCAACTCCTGTTGAGTTCACAAATTATAGACATCTTATTTTTTGGGAGAATGACAGCTGTGTAAAAAAAGCAAAATGTAACAAAACAATCCCTGTGTCTCGCTCTGCGTGGGAGGTTCAAGGAGGCTGTCTGAGTGTCTTAAACAATATGTAGGTGAACCAAATGTTAGCTGACAGTCCAAAAGCTGCTACGCAAATATAATGAGACAGCAACCATCGACAGCCTCGGGGAAAGCCGCTATTTATTCATAACACCACGGGGCATAATTGGATATCATATCCACCAATTACTGATTGTTTGTAAAAGCTCAAGTCAGACCCAATGAGTCTGTCGTTCTAATAATCAGTCAACCAATAATTGAGATGCCGATATCTGAATGGAGATATGAGACACAAATGTAAATTTGCGTTTCATGAAAATGATATGATATTGATGCTTTGAGAACACAATCCCAACTTCATGTCAGTTCTCGAGGTTAATCTGGAGCTTTCAACGGACAGTGTCAAACTACTTCCATGTGCTCCACTTTACAAGTGCTATGTAATCATCACAGCTACTGAGCTTGCCATCAACCAATCCATCTCCATGATACCTGAGCAAATTATACATTGCTCATGAAGACATGGGATGTAGTTAAAAGCTCTTGAAAAAAGCTAGTAAGTGGCTCTTGAGTTGGGATGGTCTTGTCAAACTACTATTTCCGAGCAAGGTCAAGAATGAACTTCAACACTTAACTTGACAGTAGCTCTGTTGACATTCAATTATCAAGCAAACTTTTGAAATGTTTGAAATAATGGCGTATTAGGAGCACTTCCATCAACTGGTTTAGAGCAAATAAACTTGACTACAAGTGCAATTTGGTCAGAAGGCTGTAATCTGTCAGTAAACAGAGGTTCCCAACCAGAAACAAAACAAGTCACCGTGGCCATCTAACTAACCCAGGTATGATGAGAGAAGTCTTAAAGAATTCTGTAAACCTCTATTATCCTCTATTCTATACATTTTTAAAGACATTTAATTAACATAACTAATAATATGTTATTGACATTAAATGTCCAAACAGACTGACTGATCTGTGATTTCTTAACAAATTACTTCTTGACAGCATCACTTCCAACCTTGCTCATAACCAGAGGGTCCTTCATTTCCTCTAATGCCCTCATATTCTCAACACAGCCTTCCTTAATGTGAAGAATCCTCTACAATATTCATATCTTCATAATGCCCCATTTATGTCTGGCTTATGGACCTCTGATCAAACGCAGCATGATTAAAAACAGCCTCATCTTGAAATGTCACTTCAATGAGGAAACCCTGACCTGCAATCAAATAAATGGCCAGCGAGCATCCTTTGATCATGTGTAATATCTCTACCAGTTTTCAGTGGTTTAAAAACCACAAAGACGTCCTTCGGGAAGGTTCTCCATTAAAAATCAAAAAGTTTTAATGCGACTTTGTTTCACTGAGTGAAAGAACAATAGGAGAATACATGTCAATGAAAATTGTGATCACAGGCTTCGTTCTCCACTGTTGTCTCTTCACCTACACTTCAGAGCGTTATACACAAGCATTTGATTTTTTTTAAAGAATATATTACATTAATATTTCCTGCTTTTCTATTGTAGTTTTTACTCTAGCAAACCCAATAGATTCATACAAGTAGTGAATGTAATTCTGTAAAATACAAGATCCGGTTGAATGCAATGGCATGTGTACACTATGCGTGTGTGGATCAACTTACCAAACTCTCTAGGTACAGATATAGAGTAGATACAGCTCTGTCCAGACGTATAGTTTCTGGGGAAGTTTGGAGATAAAACAGTCCCTTCCGTTCCTGTAGAACGGCTTCCACAGGGAGCTGGAGACAGAACATACACATAGTATAGCCCATATAGTATACAGCTATATAGTCCCGTTATATTCGAGAGAAGGCAGACAACTCTATTGACAATATCTCCAGAACTAGGCTAAACTGTCCAGAATGATAAGTAGCACTACAGGGATTTGGGGGTGAACTGCCCCTTAAAGCTGTGTCTGCGGACATGCTTTATATGCCAGTGTGTGTTTTAGTATGTGTTACCTTGACAACTAGGCAATGCCCTGTTCCATCCAGGTCTGCCGTCATCTCCCATACTGCAGGTTAGGGTAGAATAGCCCTATAGAGAAAAAACAACTTTTCACTGTCGGAAAAACAACCCGCTAACCTGACTATTGACCAACCAACCAACCAACTTATCCCACAAACCGATCAACCAATCATCCACAAACCAGGCGTGTATGGAAATATGAACACACTTGACACACGTGAATAACACACGTGATATTATGGTTTGTGATATGTATCAATTTTTAAAAGCAGTGTATCAGTGTATGCATATGGTGGCACGTTCTTTTTACTAACACATACAGTATTGCAGTAATCTTAACATGTTGAATCGTAACCCCGGTATCTTGATACGTACTGTTTCGCCAGATTCTTGCCCATAGACAGCCCCAACAGAAACCAATCAAACGACCAACAAACAAACAATCAACCAACCATTCATCCGTCCAGCCATCCACTTTTTATTTGTACCTGCAAAACGTATCCAGCCTCACAATAGAAGGTGACAGTAGAGCCAAGCTTATAATCGGATCCCAGCCTGGTCCCATTCAAAACAACACCTGGGTCGAAACATGATTCCCTCAGCTTGGCTGGACAGAGAGAAATAGAACGGGTGAGTAGAACGGGTGAGCAAGTGGGAGAGGGGATGAGGCAAAGAAAAAGCGACAGGCACACATAAATAATAAGTCAAATTAATAATAACTACTTCCCTAGCAATAATCTAATGAGGCAGGCACTACGTTGGCCTTTAAAACAGTCTGTTTGACTTAGCTGCCTTTGCCAGAGATGGAGCAAGTACGATAACTTCATCCCCCGACTTTTGTATGCAACATCAACCTAGTAAATTATGGCTTTGGCCCCCTTCCTTAAAGATTAGCGGCCACCCTGCATCAACTCAAAGACCTAATTCCTGAGTCCACATGAAGCCTTTTGTGCAAGTGAATCAAACTCACCCCCTGAGAGACTATTTCAACGAACGCTAATTCAACAGGGACTTTATGGTGAGAACAATCACTCTTTTTCATTTTAAAATCAGCATGACGTACACTGGCACCATTGTGAGGGACTTAACTGCATAAACATTTGTATTGAGTGATTTGGGGTAATGCAGTAGTCTCTTTGTTCAATGTGAAAATTAAATATTTTTAAACACATTGGGGAGACATCTGAGACACTTTACCTTGCTTATGAAAAACAGATATGACAGAAAACAGCCCATGATGTAATTACATATTAGAATGATTTCTCAAGTGACAGTTACAAAGTGGCTGTAAAAACACTCCACAGCAACACAATTTAACTGGCTAATAGGTACATATAAAACTCCAGTCCAACTGCATCATTTTAACAATAACATTCAGGACACTTATTATTAAGTGTGAACAAAGAGAAAGGGATGTTGTTTTACTGTGAGGCGCAGGAGGTAGGATTGATAGGCACAAAATGACCTATACGCTTATGCGTTGTTTATGCTAGGACTTTATTTAACTAATCCCATCATGAAAAGAAAAAAATGAACATGAATGGCTGGCGATGAACAGGAAGGAAAAAGTTACCTTTTACCTAATTATTTACAGTATAGCCTCATTTTTTATTTACTTTGCTTTTTTGTATTGTAATGTATTGTCAGCTATTGTTTTGTTTTTTATTCCATTATTTATTTATTTCAGTAATGTTGTTTGTCTTTTTCTTTACTGTCTTCTAACGTTGAAAACTGATCTCACGTCATCATAAAAATACGTACAAGTGCTGAGACTAATAACACTTACATTTAGTCCAAGACACAAGCTGTTAGATACTGACTGACTGAATGCTGGTCATTGTGAGTATATTGTAGATGGGTTTACTTATGATACTGATAAGAAATGTGTCTGTGCTGTTAAAAAGTCCCCTTCTGCTGGAAAGGATTCTGAAACAAACATGGATCTGCCAGAGAATACAACATCTGTCTTTTGGGCTGTTTTCCTCTTGAGCCTTTTGAAGCTATCCCAGCACTAAATGCAGTGTATAAGGATGGTGTGGAACTATTGGGAGAATATATTACCTTTGTATTCCAGGTGAAAGCCAGTGTAAGAAACAGACCCATCACTGCGGAATGCTAAATGCATCGTATTCGAACTGCTCTCTATCCGCTCTGGGAGTTTGCTGTCTTGAAAGCTACCAATCAGAGGACTGTTGCTATCCGGACCATCGTAGATATACAGGAAGTCATAGTTTGGTTCAATGTTGAAACTAGAGATAGATTAAGAAAGAGACACAGATAGGGACAAGAGATCGGGGGAAGCAGACGGGGAGAACAGGGGCACAGAAAGAGTCAACACTGACATTTTAGGATTGAGTTTTCATGAGAAACCTGGTTATTTTTTTGTTTTTTAATACAAGAAAGCATGTGCAGAAAGTTCCTGAGAGCAGATATTTAAAACGCTGAATGGAAGAAATAAAAATGTCCAATTTTAGAAAAACAGTGTCATTAGTCGCCATTAGTTTTAAAGTTAAAGCATTCTGTATGTTGAAAAATATATAAAAAGAAGCCTGGTAGTTACAAACCCTTTATCAAATGATATTGAGTTTAAAATGTCTTTCAACAGCCCTAAATAATCTAAAATGTACAAGAAATACATTCATTGTTGCAAGAGGATGAATCCTAGTAACTTTGGGAGTAACTTCCTCTCAAGCACCAAAAGGTCAAAATGTCCACCTCACGTTGAGCGTTCCTAAAAAAGCACATTGAGCAGCAAACATACCGTGGAAAAAATAAATGTTTTACTGTAAAAAATGTCAGTGGACTGCAATTATTACGTAACAAAGAAGGTTACCCAATGAAAGCCAGCGAGAGGACGTAGTCAGAGTTGACAGCAATGAGCCAATCACAGTCCTTGGAATGAGGGTAGGGATGTGGGTAGTTAGGAGAAAGAATAAATCCACTGGAGCCAGTCAGGTTTCCTCCACATGGAGCTATGACGAGAACGCAAGCAAAGGTACACATTTATTCTAATAAAGTCTTAAAATAACCCAACTTAGTGCGGTGATATAATGGATTAATAACAAAATGGAGACAGGATGGGTCCAGGTAGAACAGACTTCAGCCCATGGATAAGTCAGTCTTACCTCCCCTGAATAAAACGTTTTGGAATATTATTAAAGTAAAGAATAAATGGATTAGGTACTCTTTGCAGATATGGGCAATGGTTAGAGTGATACATCTCCTTTCATCAATGAGGGAGCATGGTGGGCAGCAAAAGGAAAAAGGCCTGACAACAATGAACCTAAGATATATACTATGCAGGAAACCCAATGGACTCAGAGACTGAAACAAGTCAACACAACGGAATATATGACAGCAAAATTGCAAATGAAGATGGACATTTTTCGACAAAGCTGAACTCCAGTTATGTACTTGACCGTCTAAATGTTGTGATGTGAACAGTGCTTGGAAAATGGGGGAAAAAAAAGAAATGCAAGAAAAGCCCTCTGTCCAGGACTGTTTCAGAGGGTTTTATGTTGCATGATACTGAAATTGTTATTTAAATGACATTTAAAGAAAAGTGAAATAAAGTCTCATAAAATTTGCATTTTCTCGAGCTCAACCGTGCAGGATTAAAAAAGAAAAATCGTACTCACTCAATACCATTTTCATTGTTTTTAGTGCATTGCAGTTATACAACTTTTAAGCAGCAGTATGGAAAGAGGTTGGCAGGATAATGGAATCGTATCGCACTGTACGTATACATAGCAAGTTCAGACCACTAAACACTATCTTCTTTACACAGCCCTCCGATAAGTCATTCACAGACGTGTCCTTGAGCAAGGTACTGAGCCCTAAACAACTGCAGTTGTGTATGCAGCACATCTTTTGTATGCCCCTATAAATATATGGAAGCTGGACTTTTCACCTATGCAGGCAGGCGGGCTGGGCTGCCAGTAGTATCTGTTATCCACTTGTATACAGGTGATTTTGTCGTCCCCCTGGAGCTCGTATCCTGGGTCGCACTGAAAGGACACCGAATCCCCCGGCTCACGGCCATCTCCACTACGACTGCCATTCATTGGTACGCCTGGGTCCCTGCAGGCTGTAGCTACTGAGCCTGGACAGAGAGACAGAGAGGGGACAGGGAGGGGACAGGGAGGGGACAGGGAGGGGACAGGGAGGGGACAGGGAGAAAGAAGAGCGAATGGAGGAGAAAAGGGAAGGGAAATTGTAAAAGTCTTTTGTCAAACTGGATATCCAAGCTCAGTGCATAAACTCTACAATAATTTAAGTAACAGTTTGCTGCCCTGTATTGTAAAATACCTGTTAAGATAATTTGTGGCTGGTCCAATAAAGTTTTCAAGGAAAAAGTGATTTTTTGTCAAAAAAACATACCAGAAAGTCACAGAAAAAAACGTTTTTGGCACCAGTACGTTTACATTAAAGACATACAGTATGTAAAGAAAAATGATACAGGGATCTTTAACAACAGCAGTGGGTAAACCCACAACTTTTCTCATTTAAATAATGTTTAGTACATTAGTTATGCACATGATGGTACTTACTTGAGAACTGAATAGCGAATCCCGACTTGCTGATGTAAAAATCAGTCTCGAACTGAACAGTGACGGTGTTCAGTGTGGAGTGGATTCTCTCGGGTAGCAGAGACCCACTGAGCTCTGACAAAGACATTTCATTCTCAGGTGGTCCGTCCCAAATCTTCAGCATGTCGTGGCTGGCTTCCGTGTCGAAGGCCAATAACTGAAGACTGCAGTTTGAATGAAACAACAAAAAATTGTTGAAAAAAACATTTTCTCAAAGTCTGCTCCAAACTTTTACAACTTCACAACAGTCATCCTTGTGTAAGGCTTACAAAGAGAGACTATTATAAGAAAAACATTTTGATTTACACTTTTTTGCTGTTGGTGATTTGATATAACATATATAAACCTGACTGATCATTTTCATCTGCATATTTATATAATAAATACATTAAAAACATTATTTTTCAATTCCACATTTTTACAACCGAAGAGGGCACTATAATTGTTGACATTGTTATTTTAACTCGACTCCTAGGAAGGTTTTGGGTGGTCCACATTACCTCACAATGTTTCCTGAGTCCACCTCGATGGTCCAGGTGCAGCGCAGATTATTGTCATAAGGGAAAGGGTACCCAGGGGAAAGAATCCTCCCTGAAGACTTGTCTTTAAAACGACCACCGCACTCCGCTACGGGAACCACACACACACACACACACACACAGAGAAGAGACGTCAAAGACTCTTAATATGTACCGACGTAGAAATGTCCCTGCATTGTATCTCTACCTGTCAGATTTGCACAATTATGACAGCGTTACAAATGTCAGCAAAACCGTCAAGGATTGCATATGTGTGTATTTAAGTGTGTACGTGATGTATGACAAGTCGAGCAGTTATCTGTCTGTGGCAATTGTTTATCAAGGCAATCCGATCACCGCTCAGTAGCCACTGAGCGGTGATTAAACGATCACCACGGAGACGAATGGATTAGAAAAGAAGCTAACTCTCCTTATCTGTGTCCCTCTGTCTTTCTCACACACAGAGAGAGGAAGAGACAAAGTGCTGATCCTGCATTCATCCCTCAAGAAACCACCACACATTATATAACAGAAAACAATTCCCGTTTCTCTCTTTGTCTCTCTCCTTTATATATTTTCACAATCTTCATCCCCTCTCCGCTTCCCCTCCCTCCCCATGTTCCTCCTCCCTCAGGCTCCCCTCCCTCCGTCACTGGAATACATTATCTCGAGTGTTAGGAGCAATATTAAGAGTTGGAGAATGGGAGAAAGAGAGTTAAAAAAAGGAGAGAACCAAGGGGAGAAAAGAAGGAAACACTACGAGTAATAATAAGAAGCAATATAATATTAAGACTGGAGGTTAGCTGAGGTCACGGTGTGTCGCTACTAAAATATAAAGTCGGAGAATATCAGCCAGTGGTTTTATGAGTCTTTCATTATTGATAGTGAGAAAGAGAGAGACTTATTAGGCTGAATCTAAAATCAAAAAGTTCACAGGCAGCAATGAAGAAAGAAAGGCCCTTAAAACATTGGGCATGCTGGCATGCTTATGCTCCCATCTGGGGCACAGTTGCTGCAGCCATTGTGTGTGTCAATCTGTGCAGGTTTAGCGTTTGTTTGGGTTTAATTAGAGAATGTAATCATTCAACCAAATACCTACTGGGTCTCCAAATAAGCTTCAAGTAGCCTTCTAAACAAATCAAAGCACTTCAGGCATCACACACAACCTTTATTTTAACTCAAAGCAAAACTAAACAATCATAGGCATCAAGGAACCCAAAAAAATCAGATGAGAATGGAGATAAACATAATACAAAATGATGAAAAACCTAAAGAATATATTAAGCAATTAAAATGTAAAGCCAGCAAATCAGCTAAAACAAGAACAGCTGGAAGTGAAAAAGGATGAAATCGCCCTAAGGATAAAAATAAAATACTTTCTGCATGTATGGGAAAAACTGGATTATACAAGCTCAGTTAAAACAGCCAACACCTGCAACCTAATCCAGATATTTTAGCGTGTTTGACAAGTATACATGTAGGTGTATGCCAACATACTGATGAATGTGTGAGTGTGTGTTTGTGTAGGTGTCTGAGTTCTGAAGCTCTGATAATACCGAGCCAGTAAAAGACCATTTATTGACTTGTTGACATCAATATTCAGAGCTTTAGTTTCTATTTCCCCATGAGTTGAAAGCCATGAATGAGAATGAATTATAAATGCAATGATTCTATAATGGAATATTAAGAAATAAGTCGATACCCAAAGAGTATTTTAACAAACAGGTTTGTCAGTAAGCTATCAATATAATAAATAAGGGTTAAAAACAAGCAGAGAAACAAAAGTAACACAAAGAGGTTGGATCTGTGTGCGTGTGTACACGTGTATGGTGGTTTGAGTCTCCAAGGACAGACAGCAAATCCCCCACTGCAGGAAAGAAGATGGGTCAAATGGGCAGAGGGAGTGCAGTCTCCTCTGTCCTGAACAAATGGGCTTTTCATTGAGACTTTAAAACCGCAGCAGTGTGTGATCTCATGGGAAAATCAAGAAGGCAATTCCACAGGAAACCGGCCACCACCGGCGTTCTCCATATTATTGAATTTAGGTCCTGTGAGCTGAGACTTTGCATAAAGCAGCAAGGGAACAGTTCTGTATATGTAGAGCAAGAGTTGGTACAACGCTTCCTGCTGCTTAAAAAAGTGTGGGTTCTGGGTAAATTACATAATTCAGCTTGATGTCACCGTTCAATTATAGTGGAAAAACACTCAAAAGAGAAGAACAGTTTAATTGTGTTGATAATTATTCACAACTATATATCCTGCTCTTGTTTTTTGTGTTGAGCAAATGTAACAAAATCTTTGTTTTAAATTGCCAAATACCTTTAAGAGGATATGGGCAATTATGCAGCTATTCATCAAAAACATGTTGTTGATAACAGCGGTATGGACCGCGCATCATATATCACAAAATACAGCAATATCAGTGAAAGCACCTCTCCTTCTCAAGCTTATAACAAAGTGTTATTCAAGGTCCATCCCATAATTGTGTGTGTGTGTGTGTGTGTGCCTTTGTGTGCCTGTATACGTACATCTGGTATTTTCAATGAACTTCTTTTCAACGTGCGAAAGGCTACAAATAGCGAGAGACTTACCGATACAAGAAGGCAGAGGGTTATCCCAGGCTCTCCTTTCGCCTGTCATGCACTTCAAGGTGGTGGCCCCGTGCAGAGTGTATCCGGGCTCACATCTGTATGTGATGCTGCTCCCGGAGAAATGGCCTTGGTCGTTGACCTTGAAGCCAAACTGGGGCACGCCTGGATCCTCACAATGAGACAACTCAAAACCTAGAAAGAGAACAAGATAGAGAAAGTTCCATACACAGTGTGTACTAAAAGAAAAAAATAATATAAGCGGCATCTGAGACCCACAAGAGAACACAGAAGTTGTGCTGTTTAGAAGAACAACAATATTCCCTTAATATTCTCTCAAGTATTCTGTTTATGAACTTCATGATATCACAGATCCTGTTAAGCTCTCATCCAGATTTAATAATACAAAATAAAAAAACTAGAAACAAATACACGAGACATAATATCAGGAGCGACACTGGAGCATATACGTATACACCTTATCCAATTTAATGTTGTTTTTCACAGTCTGTCTAAGCTCAGTTTCCATGGTAATATTCAGAATATTCTGTTTATTCATGTGCGCAATTTTGGAGAGCGGGATATGAAGAGATATATAAATAGCTTATCCTTATAAGACCCTAACCAGGATTTGATCTGCGGTATTACCTGAAAGACGAGGTGCGTCAGGATTTGAGTTATCTCCTGGAAGACAGCAGTAAGTGCATGTCTAATCCTTTTAAAAATGGCCATTTACAAAGCTGTTCTTTTTCCGGTTTGCAATCTGAACACACTGCCATCATCCTGACATCTAGTTTATAGTTGCCCATCTGAAATTGTTATATATATGTTGTACATGTACAAGAAAATAAACTGTCATGCATTATTCATTGTGTCACACCTCTGAGTTTTATTGAATTCCAGCCGTCATAACTATAAACATAGTGAGGCATTCAGCAGGTTTTCATAGCCACAAACAAAGCAAAGCTCTCCCGTTTGCGTTGCAAACTAACTTCTATCTGCATGAGAAAGTTGAGGTGTAAAAGAGAAAGAAAGTAACGCTCCACCTCTAAAAGTGCAGTGTATATCATCCTCCGTGACTCCATTTGAACAATTACATTTTCTAATTCCAACTGTAAATCAAAGAGGGCACTGCCAAATGTATATGTGCTTTGGTAAACATCAGACTCGCCTTTAACACAACATCCTACGGCTGAAATCAGAGCTCTCTTAAATATCTGTTTGTGACGCTATTGTGCCAGCTAGCTGTGCTGTGTAACAGGGAGGTTATGCAGCTATGTTTGAAATTCAAACTAATTTGTGTAATTATTACTCATTTATACCACACAATATATTCAGACCACACATGTTCAGGTTTTGACGTGCCTGTATAAAGTTTTTTACTGATCATCTGTGAGCACTTACTGGAGTAGACCAGTTTGAATCCCTCCCCTGTACTTTCTCCATCACTGTAAAATTCCAGCCACAGCTGGTTTGAAGTGGAGATCAGCGTCAGGCCCAACATAGACGATCCTGTGAATGCTCCGAGAACGTGGGTTGCGCTGTCTTTACCGTCATAAATCTGTAATAACAACAGCACAATGTCTTTGAGATGCAAATACGACACAATAACCAACCAATGATGGTCAAGTGTAGTTTTCAATAGCAAGAGTGTTTTTATCATCACTGCTGGCCAGCAGACTGACAGAGGAATAGCCAGATGTGTGTGTGTGCATGTGTGTTTACCTTTAGTATATCTCCTTGGGCAAGATGAAAGGTTCTAGCAGAGATGTTGATGCCTTTCCCAGCTTGCACCTAGAGTAAACATGAAATCCAAATTAGATTTATTGACCAAATAGAGAAGTGCACTCAGTAAAGTGAAGGTCTTCTCCAGGTTTGTCTCGCTATCCCCTCACAAACAAAGTTAAAAGTCACTGAATTGTCCCTCCCGGCTCCCTCACAGTCAAGATGGCGGCAAAGATAAAAAAGAAAAAAACAGGGGTTAATTCATCTCGTATCGTGCCTAAACTTTAGTGGCTTGTTCAAAATGAGACCAAACTCTTCTATGGATGTCAGCTTTTGAGCCACAACACAGGCCAACATGTGGCCTGCAACAGACTAGGTAAGGTTTGTTTATAGCAAATTGCCGGAAATCTGCCTTTTGCTACTTAGTCAGTTGTTGTTTACTTTAGTCCCCTGCCCACCAGTTAAAAGGAGAAAGGAGTCAGCAGTCAGTGACTCGGTAAAACAGTCAATAAAATAGTTTTTTCAAAAATTGTCAATCATCACAACCATGAAGAGTCTTTAAGCATACAGTAATAAATGAGCTTAGCAAATATAAGGTTGATGTTGCCAGTAGTATGTGAGATTAGCCACGGACAGACGGACAGATACACACACCCATGCACGCAAACTACCATACGCATGATCTCCCCACAGAGATAGTAACGTAGACAACATGTACCCACACACATTTGGAGATAGTTATTAACCTCCACTCATTTTCATAATGATTTTGTGCCAGAGTCTCTCGTTAGGATGTACAGATTAGTTACCTGGATGCTGTAGATGCACTCGTGGTTGTTGTCATAGTTCATCGGATAGTTTGGAGAGAGAATGATCCCCTCATTGTTTATAACGGAAGAACCACACTCCGCTGATGACGAATAACAGAAAGAAGAGCATTAAGAAAGATTCATGTATAGATGTTTTTATTGGAAATGAGATCAACATTAACATTTATTATGCCACAAAAAAGTGGCCCACATTTAAAACTGTCATTTGAAAAGAAATCTCCCTTTTCCGAGCTTTTTTTCTTCTTCTTAAAAACCATTTGGTCCTACAGTCTCAACGCCTCAGTCCAAAGTGTGAACAGTTACAGAGAACACAGGTTGTCCTTAGAGTGAAAAGATTGTTTCATCTTACAGGTGATGATGATTCTTTTTCCTATAAATGGACGAATATGTCTACGTGTGCTTGTGTGTGCGTGTAATTTAACAACCCTTGTAAACAGCTGTATTGTCAGCCATCTACTTCCATTGAGGAGAATGGGCAGGCAGTAAAATTGAGAAACTAATTTACCTTAAGATACTCGCTCTCAGCACTTCTCACATGTGCGCTCTATCTCCCGTATCTATGTCCCTTTCCTCTCTTTTTACCTCCATCCTTCTACCTCCCTCCCTCCCCCCCTCTGTGTCTCTACTGGTGTAATAGTCATATTACAGCAGTCATATCGTCAATAAATCACGCTGCTACAGTTTCCATTTAGAAAATTACCTCTCCACCCTCTCCCTCTCCAAGTCTCTCACTCTTTCTCTCCATTCCCTCTCTATGAATAGTGCCTCCTTTACCCTCCTCTACTTCAATCAACCGTCCTCTTCTGCTTCTCACTAGTTTCCTCTTCTCCTCTCCCTCCTCCTCATGTTTCCTGTTCCATGCTAAATAGAAGATAATGTCCAGAAATAATTGAAGAAAATAAAAAATAAAAAAAGCAAAGACACCCCTTTAGTACTTCTCCAACTTCCTTCTGGACAGTTCCTTATGAAAACAATATGTCTGACTCACTAGTGGGGTAAAGAAAGCCTCAGGTAAAACCACTAACACGGGCCACCCAAGCATTACTTTAAACCTGCAAAGTGCATCCCTTACTTTATAAAAAAAACACAGAGCACAATGCAAGAGTTTGCAGTGCTAAGATATTAGGGAATGGCACATTATAGGTCTAATCGTCTCTTGTCTCCTCGCTCCTCCTTTGTGATGTGCTCCACGTCAATGCAGCGATGCAACACATCGCACAGGCACTAAATATAGCAAACCGCACTACACCATAGAACTCCGGCACGCAACACCACTCTCACCTCTTTGCATTATCAGTCCTCGCACGTTGATGACAGAGAGCCTAAAACGTAAACACTGGCACCGCAAACATCATGCAACGCTGACGATAAGATCTTCGTTTAGAATATTCCCAACATTTAAAAGTTATATTCTATAACTACTCTTTGACTAGAAAGGGATTGTCAAGTCTTTCTGCACCTGTGTAGCTCCACAGTTCCTCACAGTGTTGCTGAAAACTATCCTCTGAACAGTGGAGGGTAGTAACACGTTATCTTTACTCTGTTACAAGTTGTTTTTTAAAACAATTGTACTAAGAGTAGTTCAGATTTCAGAGTTATATTTCTGATAAAGTCCTTGATTATGAAACTCATAATTCAAAGGGGTGACACAGTGAACAGGCCAAAACTCTCTGCCCACTGATCACTCATCCACTGACATTTATTGTTCATCCAGTCACTAAAATTCGGCTTTTACACAGTGAAAAAGTCCCATTCAGATTAGTGTCAGTTTTATTCACTGTTTTTAATAACATTTTTGGAAAACAGTTTAAAAGGAACCTTAGAAAACTCAAGGACAGGCGTACACTAAACTTCTAAATGTACTTCCAAAAGAAAACTAGACATGCTCCTTTTCTGTTCTAAATCTCTTTCTCTTTCAGCCACTTGCTTTACCTTTATTAGTGCTGTGCAATCTCCTTCACTATCTTGTAAAAGCAAACAAAATTGGCATTGTGCATCGGCTGGCTTTTAAACTGAAGCTGCACAGGTTCTTAAAAGGGAAAGCAGTGGACAACGATTTCTGTGTTAGCAAAGAACCTCACGAGATCAGCAGTAGCTCAATGGCTTCCTGGTCAAAAGTAGGCCAAACGCTCTGATAAAGGATTCAAATCTCATGTGTCTTTGTTTGTGATACAGGAGATAACTGAGAAGGAATGATAACAACTGAGGGCAACCTAAACAGTATTTCACTATCGGTAATTGCTGGTAAGACATTTAGTAAGATTAAAGATAAACATGGCGTGGTAATGCATTACACAAGTGCACTTTCCGATTGTAAATTACATGTGAACCACTTGCAATTAGCAGTGATTGGTGGCTAAAAATTTGACTGTAAATTCTAAATATGAAATTCCTTCACATCTTAAAAAAACTTTTTTCACAGCTTAACAGTCGAAATCCTCAATGAATGCATTCTTTTACCACTAACAAGGTACAGGAGGTTAGATAATATCAAAATAAAATCAGGAGTAAAATGACTACTTACCGACACATCTTGGTAGAGGTGAGCTCCACATTCTCCGCCCTCCTCCCAGACAGATTACCTCGGGCGACCCCTCCAGGCGGTATCCCATATTGCAGGAAAATGACAAACTGTCTCCAATCCCAAAGCTGTAGCCATTTCTCCTGCTAAACGGAGGCATCCCAGGGTCCTCGCACGGCTCCAAAGTATATTCTGCAGAAAATAGATTGAAACTGAATACATAACGCACTCCATGAATAACCATGAAACACACTCTACACTTTGAAATCTGCCCTTTTCTGTGCTTCTGGATAAAAACCAGGGCTGGAAAATAAAATTATTTCGGCTGATTTATCTTCTCTGACAGTAAAATTAAATTTGTTATAACTAATGATGGACTATACCAGTGAATCAAAATATATTTAAACCATGCACTTTATTTAGAGATTTTTTGGGGCATCACTCAATTTCGCTGAGTCTTGCATAAGTACCGTAAGAGTAAGTGGGAGGTGGTGAGATTGTACGGTAAATCAGAGTGCCCTCTTCTAATGATGTTAAATCAACATATCAATAATCATCACTCGCAAAGTCCAGGAACATCGACCCTATATCTGAAATAATCTCTCTCTCTCTCTCTCTGAAAAATAAATTAAATAAATAAGCAACTCTCGAAAATGCAGTCCATTAAAATGTAATCTTCACGTTAGAGTTATGTACACTTGTGAATAGTTAGTCAAAAAGTCGTGTGTCTGAGTTGACTCCACCGTGTCCTGAAATGCACTTGCTGATTTTGTGTTTAGCACGGTACAGCAGGAGATTTACTGTCAGCGGGCAAAGACGGAGGATGTGATGTGTATTTCAGAGTGAGTGCGCTGCCGGAGGACACAGCATGTTGAGCATGTTGAGTTTGGCAAGCCCCATCTCTGGTGACACCTCCCATGTGTTACATTGTGAGTATCAAGTTATGCCATCTGGGAGGCAAGAAAAAGTCCATCAGTGTAGTCTCGGATTCAAGTATCATTTATTCTAAAGTCAATGAGAGAGCGCTGAAAGGGCAGTTAGGCAAACTATCTTGATTTAGAAAGGGCAGTCGCAGCCTCGGACTTTGTCTTAATTCTGCTCCTTAAAGTCTTAACTTTAATTCGGACGAGGGTGGTGGTGGTGAAGTAGCACGGTGGGTCGGCAAAGCACTTTGTACACATTGTTGGCTGTGAGGAATTAATCTCCATATCTTTTCTTCTTATTGTGTTGTTTAATGGTGGATTACATTCAGATTAATGTTGTGTAACCTCTCTCCTCTGTTTAGCTTTTTTTCTTTTTCTTTCGCTATTCTCAAGGTTTTATGGGTATAGTCGTCAAGGCTAGTGGTGTGTGAGAGTGAGAGCTAAACATTCGTTTAAGACAGCAACAGTTTTGTGTTGGCGGGGGGGCGGGACGACTGTGCCATGTAGGGATATGGGACACTGTTCTCAAGTGGCACATAAGGACACAAGACAAATTTCTGTTAAGACAAGAACAAAGTACGCAGGACTCCCTGAAAAGCCCTATTGATACCACAAACTATAGGCCTATTTCTAAACTGCCTTTCACAGCTAAAGTTTTTGAAGTTTTAGAAGCTTGGATGTGCATTGTTTTCTTGACAATTTTCAGTCACAGCAGCTGTCGGTTCCACTCCGTTGAAACAGCTCTTGTCAAAATCTCCAAAGACATCTTGATGCGTGGTAATGCAGGAGCTTAGTTATGCTGTATCGCAGTGCAGCTTTTGAGACTATTGAATTATGTGGGCAGTGGGAGGGTATGCCCGGGTCAGACCTGCAGACCTGTTTCACCAAGTGTTTCCATTTCATACTCTCATTTGTACCTTTGAAATGTTTCTACACTATATTTTAGAAAGGGGGGAAACATTGCGTCAAGTTGGATTCTAAGACTGTGTCCAGGTACTCTTTAAAGGTGTATTGTGCCACAATTATGCGGATTCAAATATACATATCTCTTTGTTCATCAAAAATGCAAAGCAGCATTATTTTCATCATCATGAGATAACAATCTTATAAAGAGTTCTTATCGTGCACCAGTCAGTCTTGTCGCTGAGGTGACGGGAAAATGCGTGATCCCTTTTGATCATTTGAGCGTTCAAGGAGCTACTTCAGCCTTACATCAGAGGAAGGTCACTGAGGTCCTCTGCTCAGGCCTTGTCGGTTGTAACTCACTTCATGCCTTGAACTGAATAAGATTATGATTTATTGTTTGTGGCCTGTCAGACCTTAAGTTAAGACCTATTGATGCCTTTTTAAATCTGCTTGGAACTCACCACTTTAAACCCACCTTTGTTTAGCTTCCCACACTTATATATGGTGTCTGAATTTTATGTCCGTTAGTTTTTAATCTACGTTTGATATTTTGAAGCACCCTGTGATAAGGTGCTATATAAATGGACTTAAAAACATTTCTTTAGTAACTTTACAACCTGAAATAAAGCTCTGAGATTATTTACTGAACTATATTTCAAAAGACTTTATTATAGCAGAGATGTTTCTCTGCTTTTTTCTTTTTAACGATAAGCTGTTATTTTTCATGAGTTCATAAGCAGATTCTGGTGAAGATCCTGCTCAACTGTTCCCAATTGAAACTAGGCATGCTCGAGAGATCCCGCCCCTTCCGGTGGACCATCATTAGACCTTGTTTCGGAAAAATGTTCGGTCGACCGCGGTGAGAGAAAATGTTTTGATCCCATTTGAATCGTGCCATGAATTACATATATGAGGTTTGTTAATTTAAAAGATAGTTTTGCACATCAAGAAAGATGCAATTTGTTATAAAACTGTTGAAGTGTAACACTGTGAAAATATTCATTTAGAAAGACTATACAAACCAGCTGTGGGGGCAGCTGTGGCTCAGAAAAAAAGAGCGGGTTGTCCTCTAAGATCGGTGGTTCAATCCCCAGCTCCTCTAGTCCGCATGTTGAAGTGTCCATCGGCAAGATACTGAACAACAACTTGCTGTGCCATCGGTGTGTGAGTGTTTGTGAACGATACGATTAGAAACTGATGAGCAGTTGGCACCTTTGCATGGCAGCCTCTGCCATCAATGTACGGACATGTGTCCATTTACCAATTACACCCAAAAGTGACGTCTATTGCTTTACATTTCTCACACGAACAACGGGTCTTGCTTGTTCTTTCGCTTCCCGGCTCATAAATAGTGTTTGTGACACACATTGTGCAAAACGAGAGACGTAGTTCGCTGAGTTGCTTCACACAAAATGAAATGGTACAATCACAAACTGTGCCGACTTTCTTGACGTCCAAAATGTTTGTTAAATAAGTTCTTGAAACGGGAGGGACTTTGCCTTTCTATTACTTCACTGTTTTGCACTCAGCATGGTATGAATTTTAACTGTCTAACACCTACAATATTACTTGTTCCGGTATGAAAAGACGACATTCAGGGTAAATTTAATCTAGACCTTCTTGGTGTATAAAGTTAGAATATGACTTGAGGCAAGTGAATTACCAGAGAAAGTTATGTTGAAGCCCTCATATGAAATCGAAAAGTCAGAGATGAATCGTAGCTGGGCTTTGAAGTTGCCATAGAGACCGGCATTGATGTTGCTAGGCAACTCGTTGCCTGTCAGGCGAGCCAGCGGTTGCACGAAACTTCCGTTTTCAGTAACCAAGAGGTAGTCGTGTTGGTCCTCCAGATGAAAAGAGCTGAACTGAAACTGGACACCTGTTAGAGAGACACACACACACACACACACACACACACACACACACAGACGGGTAGAAAGACAGGCAGAGCATCTTTAGAAGTTTGTCGATTCGCATCAATATACCCATGATTATATTACAGTATAAATGATGAACTATAAGTACACAGTAAGTACAACAAAACGACACGTTACAAAATAAATAAAGCATTATTTGAGTTATCAACCAATTTCTCATCATACTGTACATGCACTAACTACAGTATGTCCATACATATAAATATGAATATAAATATGCTATCAACCATAAAAAAATATGAAGAATATAATGCATATCCAGTTTGTGATTGCCATATAGCAGCAGCTGCACCACTGTGAGAGCTGCTGTCTCTCACTGTGCCTCTCTCTATTAGGGAGTGTCGATCTGTGCGTGTGTCTCTTGCCTTTCCCGTGGCTGACTTCAACGGTCCAGGTACAGTTGAGAGATGAAGGGTAGCTGTCTGGATAGCCGGGACTAAGGATGGTTCCCCAGGGACCTCTAACATCCCCGCCACATAAAGCTGGATAGATTGAGAGAGACAGAGTGGAAGAGACCAAGGGAGGGAGGGAGAGAGAGAGAGAGGGAGAGGGAGACGGGACAGAGGCAGAGAGAAGGTTAGCATCAGATTGTTGATAGCTCAAACAGATAATGTTTCCCTGTGGACCTTTAATACAACTTCTATCGTACACACGCACACACACACACACACACACACACACACTACAAGAGAGGGAGAGGTAGACACAGAGATACAGAGAGACATCCTCTAAAAATTGTTGGTAGAAAAGGTCTGCATGCCCTGACAGCACTAAAATGTGTCTTGTCACACATTTGGAAATGTTTTAGTGTGTATTCCCTTTCAGCTTTACTTTAAATGTTTAAATTAGATTTTGTTTCTGATATATTCGCTACTTCTGTTGCACATTTAAAATAATGGCATGGATAATGTAAAATCCACCACACACTGGAATGATAAATAATGGATTATTTGAGGTTTATGTAGTGTAATGTCCCTGAAACGAACCAACCCTTGATGATAAGCATAATGTGATTCGAGTCATTCCTCATATATGTTGACAGTGCATAATAATCTTGTGAAATGAACAAGCAATATGCTTATTTTTCTGTTTAAAGAAACAGTATCAGTTGTATCGTGTGGGTCTGAATCATGGACACTTTTTTTGTTGTTTCAATTTTCTGGAGGGTGCTCTTCAATAAGTGGGTACACACTGTAGGTGCCAACACTCTAAATGAATGTTCTAAATGATAGCACCTGCTTCTAGCAGAGCAAAACACTTCAGCTTCTCTGCTTAGACATAATTAGCTCAAGCTTCAAGATCTGTACTTCTCATTTAGTATCTTCCACATGGTAGTGACTTACCTAGACTCCCAGTGTGTCCTCATGACTGCATTACTGAACATGATCAAACCTGATAAACCATATTTCAGTGCCAGTTTGTAATACATATTTGGAGCTTTAATTTTCGTATTTCAGCATTAATTGCAATTACAGGTTCTGCATAAAACAACCAACTCAAATGAATTCAAAATAAATGCAGTGGATATATTGTGAGACAAGGAATGTGAGAAAAACAAAGTAACTGGAGTAGTAGAAGTCACTGACTAAATTGCAAAGTTCCTTGTTATATTACAAATGACCATCTGGGCAAGTGTGGGAGAACTGAAACATATTTGCAAGATTGTGTTGCTTTGGGATGAACTGTTTCTGAGCTCCAAATTGTTTTGAGGAAGAAAACTAAGACATGAACTAAAAAAATCCCAAGAAAACCACTGCTTGCATATAATTTAAGCTACTTTTCCACAACATTAATGCTGCCAAATAGCTGCATCTTGTGCAAGAACCGTAAAATATCTTTTGTGTCTAAATGTTTTTTTGCCCCCTTTTAATACCGTTTGATTTCAAGTGATTAGGAAGCAGTGATATTCAAAGCAGTGAAGCAGTGCAAATGTTTCTTAGAGACTACTTAAAACCTACTACTTTCAACCGCTCAGTGCGTACTCAGGATGACCCTGCGAGCTCTGCACGCGGTTCAGCCGTGTACATTGTTATGCAGTAAGAGACCCGTGCTCGCACAGAGATGCTCAGGGTTGAGACCAGGTCCTCGGAAAAGCTGGGGAAATTGCTCATTCTATGCATACTAATGCATGCATGTGTTGCAAGGTGCTTCATTTCGGCTCGCTCCACTTGGTTCATCTTATAGTTGGCCGACTGGCCTGTCATTTCCTCTTACAATAAACTCATAAAATGCCATAACATTACCTCAAAGAAGTGCAACGATGGCACAGCAGCTGGGAGAAGGTCAAACCAGAAAGTTCTGCTGAAGTTTCCTTGAGCAGGTCAATTAACCAGTTCAGTGGGAGCTGACAACCACCAACACTGAGAGCTGCGGCTCAGACTACAATCTGTTTAGACCCAAAGGTGAGCACTGCCACAACAACATAAAACAGGCAAGTCAGACACTGAAAATGTGTTCAAAACCACAACAGAGCATCAGTATCTTCCCCCTCAACCACCACCGTTTATACGACATCAGCATCCCTGAAAACAAGGGTGAGGAGTGAGAATATATCCAACTAACCGATACATAGATGCAAGCGGGCTCGCACACACACACACACACACACACACACACACACACACACACACACAGTACGCTATTAATTATTTATACTTTTCTGCCAGGAGGCTCCAAATGTTGAATGCTGAGTTATATGAGAGATTTGAAACACTGCATCACATCTCTATCTCTGCCAGTTTCTTCCTCTCTATCTCATTCTCTCTATCTTTCTTTAAGATCTCACTTATTGCATCTTGTCCACCTCGGTCTGTTAGTAGGTCCTACTATCCGTTCTCTGTTTCATGTGGATGAAGCTAGGTTGAGTGATTCCACTAAAACATCAATCTTTGGATTTCAAGAAAGGTTGACCGAGCAATTTGAATCATACTTTCATTCATTTAAATCCACAACATTTGTTAAGGGAATCCTCCGGCTTTGAGAAAATCTGATATATTTTGGTCATTCTTTCAATATGAATATTACATGAACGAGTTTACTTCACAATCTAGTAATCTTTCTGTTTAGCTAATGTGATAATCTTGCCATTGTGTCATTCATTTTATATTCTACATCAAAGGAAGGAATGCTGCTTATTTCCTAATACACAGTAAAAACATAATTTGATTTCTGCAACACTTCCCAGAGCTGAGTCAGCTTTCAATGCTGCCATTCATTGTTGACCCGTCAATCATCACACTAGACCATTTCTTAGCAACCACAGCAGCAAATAGTACCTATATTTGCGTGTTTACTGTCGAAACACGGTCTGATGGCATTCAGCCCGCATATTCCAGGCAGCATGTTTGATGCTTGTGTGCTCAAACTGCCTCCTTAGAGGAAACCACTGCTGGTCCAGGGAACTGTGCAATTCAAATGTGGTTAACAAGCGAATCAGCCAACAAGCCGAACCAAGCAAGCCGCTACAAAACTGATGCAGCAGTGCCGCATCTCTCCTTCCTCCCTCCTCCATGATTGGAGAGAGAGAGAGAGAGAGAGAGAGAGAGAGATCCCCTCCTCCCCTCAGCTACTCCTGTGCCCCCTCTCATTCCTTGATTTGGGAGAGAAGAGAGAGGAGGTGACAGCCAACACAGGCTCTCGTCAACCTTACCTCAAACCTTCCTGTGTTCACGTTTCACACGGAAGAGGAGGTGACAGGAGGCACATGGCACACACACACACACACACACACACACACACACACACACACACACACTGTACATGCCCACATATCTCTAATCTTCTCCTGAAATCATCCCCTATCAGCCACAGCAGCCTTCACTGCAAATTGCCCCGGCACATGTGTGTGTGTGTGTGTGTGTGTGTGTGTGTGTGTGTGTGTGTGTGTGATTCAACCAGTAGTTTTGTCGCAGAACATGTTCTGTGTGACTCAGCTCCCTATATAGGGATGGTGGGCTCCACTTCTGAGCTCTTTCACACATTTGTGTCTTGTTTTTTAATGGAACAACTAGATCATCTATTTTGGTTTAAAAAGAACCTGCTATTTCATTTTGGAACATAATTATTTTGTACTGTAAATATCATAAGCAAGACTGCAGTCAAGATGTGGCCATGCCATGTCAAGTATGTGCTCCCACACTTAACACTGTGCATACTGTCTCTGCACATACACATAGATTAAATGTAGATTGTGTGGGATTTCATATAACGGCGGTAAAGATAGTGATCTAGTGTATGTCAAAAAAAGTCAAAGACTTTAAAGTTAAGAGGACAGTGGGGTTTTTACATCTGACAATAGATGACACAGAGTTGAGGATGATGGTATAATGTTGGGGCGTCAGATTACTGTGAGATATCAACACACATTATCTGAAAGGGCCGTCATATTTAATACTTTGGGGGCTATGTTGTGTTAATTTGACAATGTCAATTTGAACACGTCAGTACCAAATTAAACAGGCCTTCTCATGTCCATAAAGGTTGGTTATAGGAGTGTTTTCCCAAGTTTTTGTTTAATATTTGATAAGTGCAACAAAAAATCAGGTATAATGTAGAGCAAGGAAAACCTGTGAACTACTGTACATTATATATACTGTATTTATTATGTATTTGTCTGAGAGGCTATTTAATTGGTATTTACCATCACATGTAGGTAAAGTGTGGCTCCACCAGTGGTTCTTCTCACATACTAGTGGCTCCTCGTGGCTGAGTCTGTAGCCAGAATCACAACCAAATGATACTGTGGACCCGATGGAGAAGTCCTGCCCGTACCGAATCCCATTGACGGGGATACCAGGGTCCAGGCACGAGTAGCTGTCCACTGTAACGCCTAAAAAAAAAAAAAGATTAGATGCCTACATAGTATGTATGTGCATAAAGACTAGACTCGCATCACCAGTTTTGCTGATCTGCATAATCTAAAACTCACAGATGGCTTGAATCTCCCCATAAAGCACCATGCTGTGCAATCAAGGTGGTTTGCTTATCGCAGTTGATGACCTGCATGTCAGCCCAGCTTGTGAATCTGTGTCTGGTGGGCTACTAGTGTAAGGTTGTGTCCTGACATCATGCACAACAGCTACTGTTATGTATGAAGTGCATGTGTATTGTTGTGATCTGCAGAAGGCATAGACAATTTTTCAAAGACAGCTTTGTATCTATGAAGGCATGTCCACATGTCTATATGCATGAATATACTGTATTTGCTTCTGACTTACTTTCATATATTATTTTGAAGCCAGCATTTGATCGGCTGTTATCGGTGGTAAACAGTAGATACAGAAAGTTGCTGCTGCTGAACAGGAACTGGGGCACCTGGGTACCATTGAAGGAGCCAACCAGAGGAGACAGGAGGTTTGGCCCATCATGGATCTCCAAAAAATCATAACCCAGCTCTGTCTGGAACCTGTGAGACAACAACATCAGAATATCACAATGCTGATGATCATTTTTCTTTTTTTCAAAGAGACACTGGAATAAACGCCTTCATATTTAATTTCAAACAGATAGGACAACCCAAGACTGCGTAAAACGTTCAGGCTTATTTTCTTCACTCACTAATGTTGGATCTCTTTGACGCATTCATTGAAAGGGTAACTTCAGCCATTTTTTTATCCTGGACTCTATTTTGCCATGTCTTTGTGTCTAAGTGACTCAAGTTATGTCCATTTATGTCAGATTGTTATTACAAGTGTCTGACAACAACATAAAAAGGACCCCTCGGAGAAATACATTTGTTTTCTTACCTTTTGCTTTCTGTTATTGTGTCAAGTGACTTGATGGAAACGTGAGTGAATGTTGGAGAGAAATGTCATTGGACACCAGTGATGTCAGAATTTGTTTTTGTATTGGAGTAAAGACAGCGTTCTAAGTCTCATGGCGGAATATTTAGCTGATTTTGACAATGTGCATGCAATGCAACATTTCAGAACGACACTTCTCTGAGCTGGACACAAAATAACAAACAGCCCAGATCATGCAAAAGGTAATGAAAAACATTGTATTTCTCTGTAGGGTAATTTCCATAATGTTGTCAGACAATTATTTTACCATCTGAGCCTGTCAATGGAAAAAAAAACACTGAATGTGTGCTATTGTGTGGTCAAGGGTTTTCTAAATTAATTAAAATTAATTCATGTATCATTGAGATGAATAGGTGCCACATGCAAATTTAAGAGGTTACTTCCCAAAACAAAAGACACATAAGAGGGGAGACTAAATCACGCCTACATGTGTGTTGACTTAGCAAGGATAACATTAATGAGAAAAGTTGATCTACAGGAGAATAAATATCAGTGAGATTCCTTTTTTTAAATATAATTTGTCACTTGTGACCTTACCTTTGTGGTTTCCTTTACACGTATTTCCATCGTAAAGAAATATTCAGCAACAATATAGTTTTTATGGGTGTGTTTTTATGCTCAAAATTGTCTGAGGGAGGAGCCCCAGTCCTCCGTTTAGTATGTGTCTCCACCCATGTTGAAATTAAACCTATGCTCTTGGTCCAGGTGGAAAAATACCAAAGTTACCATTTAAGGGATGAATCACATTGATGGTCCTTAAAATACGCTAAGTTGATGTTGCACTGCATTAAAATAAAATGACTGTTAATTAAAAGATTATCACAGCCATTAAAGTCATACTTCTGTACATGTGTGTTTAATTGAGTTAAAATGCTGCAGGTTAAAAAAAGGATAAAGAGGTCCAGTCTTTAAAGCCCCCTACAGGTTGTTGAGCCAATGTTAAATGCACTGTACAATGAAATAAAGTTGAAACATAATATTTTACAGGCTCCTCTAGTCTTGAATCTATTCCCGGTCTACAACTCAGAGAGCATATAATACAAACCAAAATATCACCCAGCCTTTCCGATCAATATCCTCCCAATACGTATTAAACAACCTACGACATTTAAGAGATCGTTGTCATATCTGATGAATCTGCACAGTTCTGCCTTGTCCAGAGCTCTGAGAGTCTTCATAATATGCTCAGAGAATCATGCCACCCACCTGTCAAATGTGACTTTGATGGAGCGTCCAGGTTCTGATTCAATCACCCACTCACAGCTGAGGGAATCTTTGTAGTAACCAGGCCAACCAGGAGACAAAATCACTCCATTCGGGGCTGAGTAGTGGCCTCCACACGGGGCTGGAGGAGGGGGGACAGAAGGAGGGACGTGAAGGCAGATGCAGAGGACGCAAAAGGGAAGACGAGAGTTGATTTGTATCAAAACCACTCAAGTCGAGGCTGAGAGTCGGGGTGAAGTCCACATCCAAGTTGATGTGCGGCAAGTGAGACGTAACACCAGACATTTAGTAGCAGTTTGCAAAATCAGACCTCCTGAAAGCCTCAACAGCAAAATTCCAGGGGGGGGGGGGTCTCTAAATCATAAGACTACTATTTGCTTATTATTACTTGCCATTTTTACTAAAATGTCTTTACCTAAATGGACCCCCTTTGGTCTTAGATATCAGGACGACAACTAGAAGAAGCTGAGCCAAGGTGTGTGTGTCGGGTTGCACGTGTGAACGGTTAGTGAGAGAGAGGCGAGTGTGCTGTGCGTATTCTATCGCAGGGCGTGGTTGTGTAGTTGTTGTGAGTGGACTTATTGATAACGATATAAGCCTTAGTGATGTGTGTGCAAAGTGCGTACAGCTTCACAAGCATACAGCCAATATTCTTGTCTAAAAGATGGTTTGCTGTGACAGTGTACTGGTTGATGAGGCGTTGATATGCTCTGATTTCACAATTAAACAGTAGACCATGATTTTACAATTACTTTGGATAAGTAGCTGTAGTCCTGTCGGAGGCCTTATCACTGTGCCATCAGCACAAAAACAATGACATTTCATTGTTGCACTGATTGCCATCATAAGGATGGCATTCAATGCAAAAATATACTTAGAGGAACATAAATAATGTATCATATTCAAAGGCAACATTCAGAATCATAAATGAGAAGATTCTCCAGAATGATAACACAAGGTTACATTAGCCAGGAGCCATTCTGTTCCAGTCTTCTTTTAAATTTGATCTTGTTTAGAGTTTAACTTAGTGTCTGGAGTCAATTAGTTCTGGTCTGTACCTCCTGAATACAAGTTAGTGAATTTTCATCCAAGTAGTTATTGACACACATTAGCTACAAAGGATCTGGGGACATTAAATGACCTGGAGCGTAATTAGCACGGCTTTTCTTTGTACCGTCAACACTTCCGTCAACAGTATATCTTTAGTTAGAGTTACAGCTAAAGCACTATTTAGATATTTTCTTCCGCCTGAGATTAGATTTCCATTTCCTTCTGTCTGTACTTTATCACAAGCTGTTGAGTTTTGCACTAATGGAGATATTTAAATGGCAATATACTTACTCCGACTATTATTAAAGGATGGTATATGAGGTATAGTGTGACAATTATATAATAATTACATATTAAATCGTCAAAGTTGATTGGTGTAATGACTAATAAGCAGACTTCACTTGACTTTTCAAGGAAGTGCTCACTGTTTCTTTTGATTTTTATCACATACAACTATGATAATTATATCCTTCACATTTGTTTTGTCATTAACTTCACATTTCTCCATAGAATTCTTCCCGTATGTAGCTTACAAGAAAGGGTCTGCCAGATTCAGAGTATTCTTGTAAGCTAATGGCTGTACCTTTGGCAGCAATGTATAAATAGTTCCTTCCCTGGATATTTAGGTTCACTGGACACCTCCATATCTTTTTCCCTCTGTCGAGCTGACAGCAGTTCATTTCCACTTCCTGGGTTGTTCTCGAGTTAATAGTTTAATCAGCAATAAAGCCAATATTTACCTTCACATTTAGGGATGGGCCCACTCCACATGACTTTTCCTTTTTCTAACTGACAGGAGATGGTCTCGGTTCCTTGGGTTTTGATGAAACCATCCTCGCAGACCACAGAAATGGAGCTGCCAAGCTGGAAGCTGTCTCCAAAGCGGCGAGCGTTGATGGGAATACCAGGGTCTGGGCACTCATTATGGCCAAATGCTGTGGTAAAAAGTTACAAGGAGACACAGATATGAGGAGCACAATATAGTAGACGAAACGCCCACAGAGAGAGACAGACATACACAAGAAATGTTATGAGATACAAGACCTCTATTTTACCGACACTCACATGCTACATTTAGATGACATTTCTGAGCACTAATCACATACATCTATTGCTGCAACGTGTGTCTTTTAGTGTTCAGTCCTGGCCAGTAAAACGTCTCCTGTAATATGTCTGTTCTATAACTTTGTTATTATGGTAATTAATGGTGCTACAGTATATTTGCACCGTGCTTGGGTTGACCCTCATGTGAGCATGTCTGCATCAGGATATGGTTTGGCTCACATTAGAAAGCTGTAAAGTCCAACCTTCCATTGCTAATGTTTCGCTAGTTGAAGAAATCTGGTGTGATCAGGTAATAGAAAGATTTAAAAATGACAAACGTAATGACCCGAAAAAAAATAGAAAAGAGTCAGTTATCCACAGAATGTTGTCATAAATAAACTGTAAGGGAACTGTGGGCAGAACACTTTAACATTTTATCTGTTTGCCGTCAAACTCGCAGTCAGACAAGAAGATCAATATCAATTTCCATTTCCAGTTTGTCTGGTACGGGGACGTGTTTAGCCTGAATTAGCTCAAAGACTGCAAGCAGGGGCAAAGAGTTCGCTTGCACCATCAAAAATGAACAAATAGGCCTTCCAACAAAATCCCAAACGATCTCATTTACTGTACATGTTGTATCCTGTTGTCTCGCGAGCTATGATCGATACATCTAAGAGTCACCTGGGTTTTGATCAGGTCTGCACAGCTGACAACTTTACAATGGAGACAGAACTTCTGAGTGTTCGCCTAAAACACTAATGTCTTGGATTCTATTTTGACACGGGTGAAAGACACAAGGTATGATGTTTAAAAAAGGCAATTTGGGAGGTTTTGGAAGGTGTGTTGTTTCTCTTTTGACTGAACTAGACAGTTTCCGCTCACTTCTATTCTTTGTGCTAAGCAAGGCTAAACACTTCCTGGACCTCTCTTTGCACTGGACGCGCGGAGACAAAAATGATGAAATGATGATCTTCTCATCCGACTCTGGGTATGATAACAAACAAGCCCAACAAAACGACCAAAAAGTGTTCTTTTAATACTCTTTGTTCTGCAACATACACCTCTATTCTTAGCTGCTGTATTGACCAGATGAAACCTCTGGGATCAATGAAGTCTGTCTTTTGTCTTTTCTGGAACAATTCTTTCTGTTGATGCCTGCAGCATCCTCATCCAACTTTTAGTGAATTACAAAAGCTTCTATCTAAAATTGCACTTACTCGTTCTAAGTGATCGCTGTGCTCACATTTACAACAATTGTTAAAGGTCTAGGCTGAAAATCGTGCATCAAATGTATCTACAGTCGTATGTCGTATGTTTTATAGCTTCAAAACATAATGTGTGAGCCTGAGACGCTTCTGCATTATTCTGCTGCAAAAGATAATAAATATGACCCTAAATGATATTCATTTACCCGCCATAAACATGTATCAAACTTCAACTTGTGGGAAAAAATCTTATGTTGGAAACTGTCAATATAGTGTTGCCACATTTGATTCTGTTTTACAACACATGTAATAAAATAGGTATTTTTTGTATCTAAAAACGGTACGTGCAATGAAAGGAATAAGAAAAATGACATACTACTGTATGTGATGTTAAATCCTCTCCCTGACATGGAGTGATCAGCCTGAAACTCCAGCCTCAGTGTGTTGGTATTGGACGTCAGATGGGAAGGATTCTCAGCTCCAGAGAACCTCCCAATCACGCTGGCATCATTTGTCTCGCCATCTTTCAGAGTTAGGGAATCGTAGGGCGCCTCAAGATCAAAGTCATTGAATGCCAAATGAATTCTGGAGCCTGGCTCTGATTGGATGAGCCAGACACAGTTCATGTTGTTCCCATAGCCTTCTGGGTAATCTGGGGAGAGGACAGTTCCTGAGGGAGCTGTGAAGTTGGACATGCAGGGGACTGTGGGAGCAAGAGGAGTACAGAAACACAGAGAACGACAGACAGACAGACAGACAGACAAACAAACAGAGACAGACAGACATACAACGACAGACAGACAAAAGGACATACAGAGACGGACAGATAAAGACAAATAATGGGGAAAAATAAACATTCAGGAACAGAAAGGAAGAGAAGGGAAAGAGATGCAGAAAGAGAAATTTCCTGTATATTCATCGCCACAGCATCATCGGTCATCATCTGCTCCAGGCCATAATAAACTTTGTCCTGTCACCACGGTGACAGGTCAGACTGAATGTTATGCACATGCCATGTCCCTCTGCAGCCTTGTCCAAGAAAAGAACCTACGTATGATTTGAATACTTACATATGCATATGGGGATGTTTGCTGACCACTGATTGTTGTCTTGGCAGGAGATAGTTCTCTCTCCAATCAGCTCAAAGCCAAACTGGCACTCAAACCTCAGGATTCCTCCATTTGAGAAGCTGTCCCCTTCTCTTATTCCATATAGAGGAGTTCCAGGGTCCCCACAACTCTCTTTGTCTATTTCTGTAAAGACACAATTTCAGAAGGAGACATTAACATCTGATTGTTATTTCTCTGCGATCATAGACCTCCATTACTGTCCAAAAAACATAAAAACATGCATCAATAAGCCTGATCGTCGGACTGCGTGACATGTTGGTTCCTTCCAAATGAGCACTAATTATTTTGAGTCAGTCCCACGTATATAATGTCCTGCTGCTGCAAAAACTGCAGCAGAAATAGTACCCAACAAATGTACTATTTACACTTTTTTGAGTTACTTCTTCTAAAACGATTGTTTCTTAATCCATAAAAACTATAAAATATGTTAATGACCCATTCCTAAAGCATTAAATCTGTACTAGGAACCAATAGGCTTTGCACAGAGGTAACAGACAGGCTGGGGAAGTCAGAAAGTATTGAGAGAGGGACACATTGCCGTTTCTTCTAGTTTTTTGACAATAAGACAATAAACAATACGGCTGGCCTTTATCCTATTACACGGATCTTTACATTACCAAATAAGTTACTTTATTAGGTTCCTAGGTATACCTTACAGCAGCCTTACAGCCTAGCAACCTTACAGAAATAATGTTTGACACACAAGAGGTACAGTAGGCCTAATAATGCAAATGGAAAAAAGAAAATAATAATTTATTATATTGTGACAGGATCATTTGTCAGAGGTCAGAGATGAGAAAAAAAAGTACATTGAGAAGAGCATTCTTGTAAACCATAACTTACATAACACTGTTAACAAGTAGAGACTAGACAAATGACACATAATGGATATATAATATACAGTTAAGAGGGTTTTCAAACACTGCTAATTGGCATGCAACCGGAGGAGCAGTATTTGCCAGTTATTTTTCTTCAAATTGAGTTATTGTCAAGGGTATACATCAGTGTTTTTTTCAATATACTGTAACTGTATTATCAAACTGTAAGTAGCTAGAGCCACATGGAATGATAATGTATTATACATCTTTTGGTGGCATCTTTCCTTTGTCATTTTTGCAAAAGTTAATGATAAGATACTATTGACTGCTTGAACATGTAACTCTGAATGTTTTTTTCAAGTTAAGCATTGCGAGTGAATATATTTGGCAGCTCGCTTATCCAGCGTCTGGAGTCTAGCTTTAACAGTATTTGTGGTCGCCATGCAGTGTTCACATCCTCAAATACCCAATGGCCATCTTCTCCTGCTGTGAAACACCATGTCATGCAAGAGCCCATCATCCATTTTGAACAGAAATACACTGCCAACTGAATGGAGGCTTGCTTGAAGATGATTGGCTCTCGGTTTGCTGCGTCAGGCGAATTTCTACTTCTTAGTTCACGTAGCCCCGAGCAAGTTTGCATCCATCTCTTTCTGCGTGCCTCCTTCCCCTGAGTTTGCAAGTATTCGTGACACTTCCTTTTTCACATTCAGTCGCACAATGAGGTTACACAGATCCTTCTCTGATTCCATATAAAGGTGCCACCATAATTCTCTTTAAAATGTTGTGTTCTGTATTTCAGGAAATATACCCTCTATTTCCCCATCCTTTCTCTCCTTTATTACCCCGCTCCCTCTCCTATTTTCGGTATTATTTACAGGAGTGGCCCATGGCAGGAAGCAAAGGTGTGTGCTTTGTCTGTCTGTTAGTATATGTATGTGTGTGCGTGTCTGAGTGCGGGTTTGTGATGTATTGCATTAATTTCCATCATGACATCGTCTTTATGAAACCCACAGACTCAACCAATCACAACCTGCCTAACACAAATGCTTGTGTATCAACAAACATAGACACACACATGCACGCATGCATGCACACATCACAGTATCCACAGTCAGTCTCTCTGGTAGCATCACACAAAGGCATAGAAATATTTATCTCTCTCTCACACACACACCTCTACGGAGTCTGATGATCCTCAAACCTCTACGGAGTCTGACAATCCTCAAACATCTACGGAGTCTGACGATCCTCAAACATCTACGGAGTATGACGATCCTCAAACCTCTATGGAGTATGACGATCCTCAAACATCTACGGAGTATGACGATCCTCAAACATCTATGGAGTATGACGATCCTCAAACATCTACGGAGTCTGACGATCCACAAACATATACGGAGTCTGACGATCCTCAAACCTCTACGGAGTCTGACGATCCTCAAACACCTACGGAGTCTGACGATCCTCAAACATCTACGGAGTATGACGATCCTCAAACATCTATGGAGTCTGACGTTCCTCAAACCTCTATGGAGTCTGACGATCCTCAAACACCTACGGAGTCTGACGATCCTCAAACATCTACAGAGTATGACGATCCTCAAACATCTATGGAGTCTGACGTTCCTCAAACCTCTACGGAGTCTGACGATCCTCAAACATCTATGGAGTCTGACGATCCTCACACATCTACAGAGTCTGATGATCCTCACACATCAACGCAGTCTGCCGAACCTCAAACATCTACGGACTCTGACGATCCTCAAACATCTACGCATTCTGCCGAACCTCAAACATCTACGAAGTCTGCTGAACCTCAAACATCTATGCAGTATGACGATCCTCACACATCTACGGAGTATGACGATCCTCAGACATCTACGGAGTCTGATGATCCTCAAACCTCTACGGAGTATGACGATCCTCAAACATCTACTGAGTCTGATGATCCTCAAACATCTACGGAGTATGACGATCCTCAAACATCTACTGAATCTGATGATCCTCAAACATCTACGGAGTCTGACGATCCTCAAACATCTACCGAGTGTATGACTTCAATATTGTGTTTGTGATTGCACATTGAGCCTCATTACACCCACTCTGTCCTATTATATCACCATGTTGTCCATATTCTCTTGTATCCATACAAACATGTAATCTCCACACTCTCTCACACACACACACACATGCACATAAAAGACGTGTAAATGCACTACCTGTAAAGCTCTGGGAGAGCAAGGAAATAGATTTTGGGGGGATAATGAGATTGGAGGAAAAGGAAAAAGCTTATTGGCTATTACTCTTTTTTTGTGACCATTGTGAAATTGATTTTACGGCTATGCTGCTAGTAAACGAATGCTGAATATATAGCTGTTTGCATGGTCTAACGTTTGTCATATGCTATAAACGTTCTCCTGCAAATTCTTGCTGTTGCTGTGCTTTGTTTTCAATATGTGTAAACCACATACAATAATACTCTAAGATAACTGTAATAGCCACATAAGGAGATCAATTGAGAGGAAAGTCTTTGCACTCAAGCATATTCGCAGTATGAGGAAGAAATAAGAAGCTCAGCCTCTAATTAGCTTGTGGATGTCTGAATATGTGAGCAAAAGGGAGTGGCCCATTTGACTAGTTCCCACTGTAGATGTGAAGATAGTCCTTTGAATAAAAATGATCTAATTCTTTACACACGAAATACTGACATTTTTCTGCCTCTCTGAGGTTCCAAACAGGCCACTGAAGAACTTTTGAGGATTAATTTGATAGGAGATGATTCTATTCTCATAAAAACACATTATATCTGTCGGCTCTTGTTACATAAAGTGCACAAAATATTTTTTTTGCTCAATGGTGTAACTCCCAAATACAGTATCTGTTACTCTCTGTACTTCCAGCATGATCAGTGAATTTCAGGATGTGCCTGTCCTCACCACAAAAATGTCTACAGCCTATGTACAAAAAGTACAGGTGAGAGAACAGGACATCCACATCTGAAAGGCATTTTTGTGTTTTTTGTTCCACTAAGATGTTACTGTCACTCCCTCTCCTCATCTAAGAGTATCGGAATAGATTGCTAAATAAATGCAACACTAGTGAGCACGCTTTCACTTTAGTACACTTTGTTACATCAAAACAAGGGCGTAAAACTTACAAAATCCTGCCAAAAGGTTAAAGCAGCATTTTACACACGTCTCTTCTGCTTCCACTAAATACAAAGAGTCTAATGAGCTCCAAACCATCTGGTGCTGCTTCTTGATGAGCCTTTCAAATGACTTCATGACCAATGAGGGCCAAAACGGCTGCTCGTAGGTTCTTAGTAAGTGGAACGTTGCTTAGTCAATCCCTGTCCATTTATTGTAAGAGCAGTTTGAAATGACCATCAGTCAAAATAGGAATCAGGATACATATTTTACATAGCTTGGTTACCCAATGCCATACATGATTTGAAATATATGGCATATATTTATCCTAATGAGAGAAAGAATCATTTTTTATGATGAATTTTGACTGAATGATGCACAGATATAGTAGATTTCAGTATCAGTTATCCTGGTGGCTACAAGAGAACTGAACATTACACGAGTCAATAATTCATGACTAGAAAATGAAATGCCGCTTAAAGTTCTGTGATAACGTAAGCCCTGTTCTCCACAGGTTTGCAAAAAACACACACAAACACACAGACACACACATCCAAAAAAGTGTCAGGCTTTGGCTCACCATCCTAATATTAAGGTTATTGACTGTAAAATTGAACCACATTTCTGGTTATGTTGTGAATGAATATTTCATGAAGTGATATTTCATGGTGTTTCACTCACTCTGAAGGAAATTCTGTTCAGCGCGGCGTGATTAAGAGGGTCCTGATCTGTACCTGGACTACAGCGCTGCTGAACTAACTGCAGGCGGTCAGCTAGGATGGAGTTTCATGACTGAAAATATGAGAGGCTGTTGTTGTTGAGCTTAATCATGCTTCAAAATGTGTTGACCTTCAGTGAATTATATGTAAATACGACACCGTGTAGAGTTCAGTTCCATTGTTTCTGTTCTTCCACTGCCTCCAATGCTAACATGTTTTCTCTCTTCCTCTCTTAATCTCTCCATTTAGACCAGTCATGTAGTCTGCTTCATAAATGTTCAATCTTAATAATGAGACAACATGTCAATCTTTTCAACTCATCTACAGTTACATCCAAAACCAGAAACATGTGGGTGCACAAATGCAGGGAGACATGGAGAAAACACAAACACACACATTGCACTCTCTCTGTCCCTCCCAGTGCGTGCACACAGACACACACAAGCACACACACACACACACACACAACCGATCTACCCAACCAGGGGTCAGCTGTGCTGTAAAAATCCACCTTGACATATTCTCCTCCTATAAAATACACCACATATTAAAAACTATAAAAAAAAAAAAATAGATGAAAAATCTAAAATGAAATCTCAAAAGTAAGAGCTGACATTATAACTCGGTGAAGAGAAGAGAAAAACAGAAGCCCAAACAGCGATGATAGAGATGAATGAGAATTTTCTTTATACTTCTTTTGACAGCATCATGTGTTTGAGCCTTCGCTGCAGAGCAATTGCAGGTAAGCTAATAGCATTTGATGTGATAAACCAAGTAATATCTAGCATCTAGCATTTACTAGATAACAAAAGCATTCGTCATGAGATTGACACATGTACCATCGAGCCTTCTTTTACAACTGGCTGCGAGGCAGGCACTTGATGTTTATGCTGCACTTTGTAGTCTCCAAGCACAGCGTTATATAACACAGGATGATGGGATAATGCTGGAATGATGCACTTAAAAAAGCCGGGGCTCGAGGGAATGACTCATCGCTGGAAACAAATTCTCAAATTACCACTTGAATGTATTTCAACGTAAATGGTTGAGAGGTGAGAGAAATATTTGCACACTGCTTTTTTTTTATTTTCCTTTTAGGCCAACATGTTGCAAATGTGGTGATTATACATGCAGACATGTCTTACAGGCAGATTTATGTACTGTATTAAAATATACACTACTTATTATATTGGTAATGTATACTTTACTGAGCAATTGTCCTAACCTATATATAAATACATATTAGGAATGGTATTTATTATCCAGTTCCGATGGCCCTCATGTCTGGCATCAAAACAGACACAACGCACACTGGTGACAGGTGACAGGTGTCTTTACTTGCCACGTCCATGGTCACAATGTGGCTTCAGTGAGCAGCAGGTGAGTGAGGTGCAAATGAGCACCTGTGCCTGTTTCAATTGGCAGGAATCAGCTGCTACTCCTAAGTGGGGCAGACGGTTTTCTTCGTGTGGAGTGTTGAATCCTGCGTCAAACCAATTGGCAGCTGCTGCATTTATATTAAGGACGGCAATGGCAGCGCTCTAAATTCTCTGCGGCGGCCCCTAAAATCTCAAAAGTAAGATGAGCTGGAGACAGAATACTGCTGAGGCCCCTCAGAGATCTTACCGACAATTTGAAGACACAAAACACTCAGTGAAGACAAAGAGGCATGTGAGAAGAGGAACTGAAGCAGGTGACACCAAATACACAGAGCCTCCCTTCTGACTGAGAATGTGAGTGTAATATTACATTACATATATTAATTTATGAGATGGACTTTATTCAGAAAGGTGACACCTGCCCATTCCAAGAAGAAAATTCAGCGCATTTCCTCTGCCCGCTCTGTGCTGTATGACGTAGTTCATTCAGTTTGAATAACAATACAAATTCACATATTGAATATGTTTTATTTATTCAAGCGATGTGTACAATTAGAACACTATTTGTATAACATCAGTGTACTGTCATGAGGTAATGTTTTCAAGACTGGCTCATACAATTCATAAAACATTATACTCATTATTATTCTCATTCTCACCCCCCTCAAAAAGTCAAAACTGTATTTTTAACTATAGTAAGTAAATTATAATGGACACTGTATACAATAGATTCACTGGAAATAACCTGAGATACCCATTGTAATCTTATTGAGTGACTTGCTATAACTTATAATTTTCAAACCAACCCAAATAACAATTGTAAGTCAGATATTGTTCTGTAAATATAAACAGAGAAACCCTGACATGCATACAACGCAGTAACACACTCACTATCTTTTTCATTATTCAGAAAATGAAAACAAACCACTGAAATGCTGTTTTATTGATGCTGAACCCAAATGATAAAAGCACATGTATAGAAAATATTATGCTTTGAAGGTGCTCATACAGAGGTATCGGATAACTCCACAATCACTAACAAAAATACACACACACACACACACACACACACACACACACACACAGATAAATTATGGTCTAAAACCTCAATGAGACCTCTTTATGGACTGTGCAGACAGATATATAAGCTTATGATATATTTATTTATTCATAGAGTTGACAGAAACACACTGAATCTTTAATGTAAGTTTCATCAATAATGTCGCAGCGCTCCCTTAAATCAATAGCCGTGACACGATATGATTCAGGGTAGACTGCAGTACAGGCAGTCTGGACGGCTATGTGTGCATGTGCAGTTTGGGTGTGTGATTTGTATGCCCTGCAACGGGGAGTGGAGTCAAAGTATTGCTAGGTTGGTGACCTTGGCTTTAATAATAGATGAATGGTGACAAGAAAGAGAGAGGGACAGAGGGAGAATGATGAGACAGAGAGAAACAGAGACACAGACAGGGGGGGAGAAAGAGCGAGAGAAACATTGCAAGCGGGACTGGTCGGCTGAAAGACAACACAAGAGACACCCCTGTTGGGTGTCTGAAAAAGGAAAAAGGATGTGAAAGAGAGAAGCACAGACACCAAACAACAGTGCATTAGAGAGCAACCTAGAGAGAAAAGGTTGTGATTGTAGAAGGAAGGGAAAGAGAGAGTGGTGATAGAGAGATGGCTAATGAGGAAAAATGACACGGATAGAGAGACAGACAGAGAGGGAAGGGAGAGGGGGAATGTGAGGAGTGAAAGTAGTGAGCGACTTGTTACAGCTTCGTTGGCTCACTGATGGAGGACCTGTCCAATGCACACGCACACACACACATACACACACATTGTGTAGTGCATCAGTGACTTTGCAGCAAGGCTAGAGCTACTGATAATATTTATATTTCATAGTCAAGGTCTACGGGATGTGGCATTGGGAATACAAACACACGCACACAATCTCTCTCTATCTCACTGTACACCCTTTTCTTTCTCAAAAACACACACACACATCTCACAAAGCCACCCAGTAATAGCACAGGCGCCCACCTTTATAGTAAATCTTGTGGGTGATGGAGCCAGCACTCAGAGAAAAACACATTGATCTTTGAGTATTGATGGGATAACTGATAATTGATGGGTATGTTATTTTGGGATAACATACATCCAAGGGTGTGCGTGTGTGTGTGTGTGTGTGTGTGTGTGGGGGGGGGGTAAATAGTGTTTGATTCATGATGTTTCTTATTTGTACTTTTCTCAACAACAAAATGCATTTTTGTTGTTTATCCGTCGACATATACTTTAACACCACTATATCTGTGAAAAATAACGTTAGACCAGTCCAGTAGAAACTACACACAATTTTCTGGCATTTCGTTATGCTTGTAGGAAGAATACACAATTCTCCATTGTTAAAAGCATATAGATGATAACTATACTGTAGTAAATATTGACAGCGTAATCTCTGAAAATAAAAGAAAGTCAGGCCCTCATGCTCATACAGTGGAGTATTATTATAAGCATGGATGCATTCTAATGGTGGTTCTCTCCATTAACTTTTCTATTGATCTCTATGGGGAAATTATTCAGGAGAAATGAATGAGGATACGTGCAGCTACTGCGGAGCCCCCCCATTATGATTTCCAGTTGGTTTGACACCCTGGATATTTTTAAGGGTGAACGTGTGGTAATTCATTATTTTTTATTTGAATAACTCTTTAAACTTTTTCAATTCACATGTATATAAAATGCTGCAACATTAAAAAAAATACACTATCATATGCGTTTGTCTTTTCTTTCAATCACCATTTAATCCCTGTATTGTTTGAACTTCACATTGAAACTCAAAGAGAAAAGAGGGCAAAGATATATCAAAACAACATGCCGTTGTTCCACCAATTTTGGAACTCATTGCATTACCAGACTCAGCACTGTGACCTCATTATGACAATAAATCCAAAGATGATGACACCCAAATGAGGCACACAAAGTTAATTTCTGCAGCAAAGCTCACCCCTTTGTTGTTCATGGACTATAATCAGACTCACAAGACATTCATCAAATGGAGAACTTTGTAAAGGTTCATAATTTCAGGACGGCAGGAGCTGAACCAACAGGACAGATACAAACTGTTTCTAATTGGTCTCAAGCTAAAGGTCAGTTACTGCTAGACAAACATTTATTCCAAACCTAGCAAATAAAAGGTTATTTCTCTGAAGAGAATGAATCTTTTCCATGTCAATTGATCCACAAGTTTGGTCTGTCTTGCAGTTGCAAGCTCCTTTCCCCTGAACGCAGTGGTGAGAAGAGACCAGCGGGGCAAAGCCATCACCTAGGTTTATAATCTACTCTGTATCCCGAGAATTCCCTTGAGTCAATTGCTTTAAAGACTTCATTATCAGGTGACCTGATTGACTATGGGCGGAGCGATATGTGCAACCAACAAACATGTCCCCCAATGTTCTTGTTTTATCTTAATGATGATTGAAACAAAATTAGGGACGAGTCAGAAGTCAGTGAATTGACTTAGTAAGTGAAACAGCAATATCTTACTGCTAACATTTAACAAAACTATCATAACTAACTAATGTTAGCAAATATATCATGGCGTATAAGCTACTAGTCATACCCGAGCTCCCAGGAACAGTGTTGACCTGTGGAGCAATTTTGACGTAGAGGCTGCACGTGTTGCAACTCCTGCGTTCATCACGTCACACAAACTGGCCCCAACAAGCATCTTTCCCCAACACACAATCATTGGAAAATAAGCGACTGTCGAATAGTTGCTCCCGTGATGGAGCACAACTCACGGAGATGGTTCCTTGTTCTAGCAACACACCTTTCTCTGTGTGCAGCCTACTAAAAATCCTCTGCACTCATCTTTATTTTTTAGTTGGGAAATACATCTTCCCCTTCACTCACATAGATGCCATTTACTTTTTCCCTCTCACACACAAACACATGGTCATTGCTTACCCTTATAGTTGATCTTGAATCCTATCGATCCGACACTCTCATCTGACTGCAGGTGAAGCCACATCTGGTGGGTCATGCTGACTATCAGGTCAGGAACAAAGCTCCCTGATAGGCTGGAGCAGAACAAACACATTTGTATTAAATTATCGACATGATAATCACCATTATAAAAAAAGTATAATATTCATCACCGCAATCATAGCCGTAATCAAATTCTCAAGTGCTGATCCCAGTGTGAACAAATTGCTGGAACATACTGTGCTGGAGATGAATGCTTTGATTTGGTTTGCTTTGGTTTTGCAGGAAAGCAAATTGCTCAGTGTACATTCATTTGATCCACCGTTTTTTTTTTCCGGCTGCCAACACCTTTTAGGCATGAAAGTTAACAGCGACGGACTCCAAAGTGAAGTGAAAAGAAGGTCTGCATCTGTTACGCTTTTGGGCACTGCAGGAGCACTTTCAAAATTTAGGAGCGGTTCATCATTTAAGTGGAGCACACATAATGCAGACTGCCGTTTTATGAGCTGACTAATTGCGACAAAGAAGATGGAGGATTTCGACCTAGCTGACGGCTTAAATCAAGAACCAGAATGAAAATGGACACAGTTTTTACTCTGATTAATTTGGCTTTACGCGGAACATATTAACTGTGTTGTGAGGCGTTTGATAGAACGACAATAGCGCTGCTGCTCATGAAGGCCATTATGGAAACCTGCTGTGTGTGGCACAATCTGCTTCTTAAAATCACTAAAAGAAAATGCAGAAATGCAGCTAAGGCAGCGCATTATCTGAAAGTTATTGCATTTATACTTAAGGAGTTTATTTCATGACATTACTTTGGTGAAGCTGTTTTGCAGCCATAATCAGCCTGGTACGACAGTAGACCCTGCTCTGTATGCATCTCATCATTACAGCTTTAAGAAGACAACTGAACTTCATATGCAGGATTTTCCAGCAAGGTAGAAGCTTTGAGTGGTTGTTTTTTTTTGTCAATGACCTCTTTTGAATTTGAAGGATGTTGGGAGTTTGCTTTTTAGTAAAAAGTAGTAAAAGTAAAACATTATGTAAGGATTATAAATCAAACATCAGTGATACTTAGTTGCCTTTAAAAAAACCTTGTTCTCACCGTTCTTTTTTTTTATGAGCAGCTAGTACACTATTCATGTTGACACAGAGAGATGATACAGTGTTGGACCTCCTTTGATTCAGAAAGGAATAATGTAGCAAAGTCAGGTTTCTATATTTCTAAAGTTTTCTTGTAGGGTTTTAAAGTCTGTCTACATTTGATACATACTGTCCTCAAGCCAACAAACAAAACTTTTCACAAGACATAAATGTGTGTATGTAATAGGATAGCGTAATACTTACACCTGCAGTATAGCTGTCGGATCTCCCACCTCCCCTCCATCTCCTATGGTCAGAGTATCATAGGCTATCTCCAGGTCAAACTCCTCAAAGTTGATCTGGATTACCTAAAGTTCACAAACAAAAACACGGACATATACATGTCAGTTTAGAGCTACGTCCAGACCAACCCAGTCAAAATCAATCTGGGATTCAACAGTAGGATAGTGAGGGCTACCAAAGCAATAGCCAGAAGAGTAAGAAGAAGATCCTGAGAGCTTTTGGGCCAATGTTAGGACAACTTTTTCTTGTAAAATTATGACTTCTCCCTCATACTGTAATATTACATAAATTACAGCTTTATTCTCACAATGTTAAAACGTTTGCCTTTGTTTCAACTTCACTGCTGAAATGCCTCAACTTTTTTCCTTTAAATATTGTGACTTTCGGTTGAAATTACCACTTTATTCCCATAATTTAACAGCTTTCTTTCTCAAAAATATTTTGACTTGAGGAAAATAGCTGCGTTAAATGCACTGATACCACAGAGGACAGATTTCCTGAAATAATGACTTTGAAAATGAACTGAAATAAGAAAAAGCAAAAAGGAAATTCCAATTAAAAATGTAAGTCATGGTCAAAAAAATTAAATGAGAAATTACACGAAATGATATTGCCCTCCACTGACACCAATCATAGCCAGTATGCTCTATAGCTGTTGTTCTATTTAGACTTTCAGCTATGACCATATCAAAGACACATTTCCTCTCTCATGGAATTATATATAAATTATACTTTACCCAAGGCTAAATCATTGGAATTTATTAATGCATCCTACAATGTGGTATGGTTTAATTCGGTGTTACAAGAATAACTCGGAAGAGACAAGAAACACCTCCTGGGCTGCACTCGAAGCTGGGAGAATCAGCACAGAGCTCAAGACTCTGATTGGGAATTATTAAACCAACACTTTCTGTTTCATCTGAGACCAGAGAGAAAGACATTTGGCGGAGGAAAGGAGAGAGGGGAGGAAGGAGAGACGTGCAGAAAGGATGAGAAGGGACAGAGAGAGGAGAGGAGATAAAGAGAAGGAAGAGGATGGAGGCAGGTGGAAGAAGGAAGGATAAAGGAAGTGGCAACAACGAGGAATGGTGGGCAATAATGAGCACGTCTTTGATGCTAGCAATGTGCAGTGTCAGAATATTTCAAACTAGAATTCTGACTTGACCCTCAGGGGGAGACTAAAACCTCACTCTGCCCATCTTTCCTCCTCTTCCTCTTTCCTTGTGAGGAATTTCCAGATTTCCAGATTCAATATTCTGCTGCAGGATTTCAAAAACATCATACTGGTCTGAGTCTCCTCTATGCTGGCTTGTTAACAGTGAGCATATTTACGTGCTTATCAATATCTTCTTATTTCAGAGCATCTGTTTTTGTCATCTGTTTTCAAACATTCTCTTTGAGTCAGGCATCATGAATATAGTTTGGTTTTATTCACCGTCACTAACTATCTGCAACATGGGCACCTGGGGACATGAAGTATAAACAGCTTATCCTCACTATGACCATGGAATCCGTGAAGAAAGAAGGAACAAATGAAAAAGTGAACACACAACACAGTGGCCATGCTATTCCACCCACCTGCTGTTAAACTGTTTATCTGTTGGCAGTATTGCCTGATTCGCTTTTCTTCATGGGGTTGATATTTTATTTATTTCACACCAAGGAGCTCAGTTAATTCTTGATTTTGCTTGTGGCAGCAGAAGCAGACTTAGTTTTGGTATGACTTTGCGTCGACATGAAATACAACAACGGGTGAAGCCAATGCCAAAATAAAAATCGAGTAAGCTGAAAAGCACCAACACCACCATCTTCTGCTTGGACCAGAAAGCAATAAAACGAGGAGGTCTACCAGGGTGAAGCAGTGATCTGTCCATTGCTCATATTGCTGACTCAGTCTTATCGCCATGTAATGCAGATTGGATTAAAGCATCACCTACAAACCTGCTAAACTCTCTCTGGCAAGCACACACACGCACACAGCAACACACTCACTCATTGAGACGGGCCCAGCTTTGTGGAGATTAATGTGTCTATTTCTGTGATTACATAGTCACCATTCTCACACTTATCACAATATTCCTACAGACGTGGGCAAAATTGTTGGTACCCTTCCGTTAAAGAAAGAAAAACCCACAATGGTCACTGAAATAACTTGAAAATGACAAAAGTAATAATAAATAAAAATGTACTGAAAATTAACTAATGAAAATCATATAAAGCTTTTGAATTGTGGTTCAACAGAATCATTTTAAAAAACAAACTAGTAAAAATGGCCTGGACAAAAATGATGGTCCCCTTAACTTAATATTTTGTTGCACAACCTTTTGAGGCAATCACTTCAATCAAGCAATTTCTGTAACTCTCAATGAGACTTCTGCACCTGTCAACAGGTATTTTGGCCCACTCCTCGTGAGCAACCTGCTCCAGCTGTCTCAGGTTTGAAGGGTGCCTTCTCCAGACTGCATGTTTCAGCTCCTTGCTCAGATGTTCAATAGGATTTAGATCAGGGCTCATAGAAGGCCACTTCACAATAGTCCAATGTTTTGCTCTTAGCCATTCTTGGGTGTTTTTAGCTGTGTTTTGGGTGATTATCCTGTTGGAGGACCCATGACCTGCGACTGGGACCAAGCTTTCTGACACTGGGCAGCACATTTCGCTCCAGAATGCCTTGGTAGTCTTGAGATTTCATTATACCCTGCACTGATTCAAGACACACTGTGCCAGATGCAGCAAAGCAGCCCCAGAACATAACCGAGCCTCCTCCATGTTTCACAGTAGGTACAGTGGGTGACATTCAGTGACCGTTGTGGGTTTTGGGTACCAACAATTTTGTCCACGTGTGTATAAGCCCAAGGCAGGCTTTCAAATACAACAGCAAGTCAGACGATAAATAAGGTACACCGGTATATGTAGTGAATGTTTTTACACATTTTATTCAAAGGCAAGACCAGATCCCACATTTAAAGGGTTAATCATTATTATTATCAGAGGGACAATGTCCATGACCATGTTACATACCTTTGTTGCATATTCTTGTTTCAATAACCAGCTCACTTTAGTAGTTACAGTAGGTTCAGTATACGGTACGTGATGTACTGGTTGGATTTCATACAGACTTTAGTCTTTTGGGCTGGGCTCATCAAAAGTCTAATTTGAAAAGAAAATGTATGTCATGCCAATAAACAAATCCCTCTGGGCTCATATTTGCCGTCAAACTTCAAACAGTGTTTTACGATTGAAAAATATTCCTAAAGGTTCCTATTATGTCACAGCGGCGCGTAGATGCTGTGCTGCTACAGCTGCCACATGCATCCATGTGTCTGAAAAGAGAAACGTCCCTTTCTCGATGCGAATTGTTAATATTTGGATTCCATTTGAGCGCGCAGTTCGTATTGAGTATTTCCTCAAAACTGCTTTTACCCCAAAAAGTCTGTTTGGGTCACTGCAATGAAGGTGACAAAAAAATTCAAACAAATCCTGAAAATGAAAAGGAGATCAGTTGCTGAGCAGGTAGCACCTGATGGAAAGCGCTAGGAATAATGCCCGTTAGTGGCTTTAGTTAGTTGCATATGTAATGGAGACCATCCAGCCTTCTTTGTTAGCGTGGCAGGAGAAAGGCCGGACCTGTTTGTCCATGCAGTGAATAAAGTCAGACGAGGGCTTGTGTGCCCCGATGATGGAAACTAGACTATCTATCTCCTTGTATACGTCCTTTACAGAGTCCCCTAATGCCACATCAGCACTGTTCACACAGCATTAAACACAGATGGGATATAGCTACATTACACTGTGCCCATGTGTGTGTGTAAGAATGTGAACACTGTACTGAAAGCAACTTAGATTGGAACCTCATTACCGACAGTGAGTGGGTTAATGTTTATGCGTGCGTTCTGCATCTCTTTCTGTGTAGTGTGTGTGTGTGTGTGTGTGTGCGAGCGATAGATGAAACTGAACACTCTACATATTTCTCCTCTCCTCTAATAGGTTGCGTTCATAGAAACATCCATCTCTCTCTCTCTCTATCGCCTATCCCTCCCTCTTGCTGTCACACTCTTGGCCCTCTCTCTTTCTAATTGGCTGCTGCATTCCGTTTCTCCATCCATCTATGGCTTCTAGCCAATGAGGCGACAGAATTGGATTTCTGCTTGATAAAGCACTTCCTTTGGTTGTCGTGGAGACAATGAGGTGGGTGGGGGAGTCTCCTCCCTGGCCATACCATAATAAGATCAAGGGATACCTTGAAGATACAGTTACTGTAGGAATATCCGAAACACCTGGCGAGCTACACAGTCAGTGATGCAAAGAGGGCACAGGCAGGGCCGCGGAATAATAGATTGTCTGGGACAGTGTTACAGTAAACCCGCTGCCACGCGCTCGCCTTGAACATGCTTCTGCCTAGATGGTATAAATTGCACCATTGTTAGATGACTCCGGCTTTAGCTGATGAAGACAGATGGGCAAAGTCCTTTTGCAACTTTGTATTTTCTCCCCACTACTGATTCATTGAGCTGAATCCGCCAGGTGTCTACTTTTTTTTTAGATACCAACTCTGCACAGAAACCTGCAGGAAAGGCTATGTGGGCTGTGGCTTTTACTGTTGCTATGCAACTACCGTACTGAAAAATGCATTTAAATCAAAGTCCTCTTTTACTTAATGTTTACCATATTTAAACCTGAGCCCGAAAGAAAGTGCTATGCATCTCGTCTCGACAGGAGGATGCAGAAGCACGCCATTCGATCACTAATAGTGACTAAAAGAAGCCAGTGCAGTCATCTTCTTGTCTTGTGATTTCTGCCTCATGGCTTCAGTGTGTTTGTCGGATTTCTGAAGGCCCCCACAGGGCATTACTGAATTCAATGCCTGCCAATTAGTACACAGAAAGCCTCCCCACAAGTGAAACTTTCCTTTCTTACTGAACGCGGGGGCATTACTTTTTCCCTGGTTATAGTGGTGATACTGAACTAAATATGCAGCATGGCAGCACTGCAGTAGTATTCTTATATCCATGGGTTATGCACTACACTTGGCATGCAAATACGTGTGAAGTGATGCAAAGCCAGTTCATTTTTTAATGCTGTCAGTTTATATAACAGGGCATGGCCTAACATTTGCATGTTCACCAGTGAACAAAACAATAGCTGACACAGACATGAAGTTGCAATAAATGTCACGTTAACTTATGCATCATAAACAGATGATATGGAGAAAGTGCTTCAACTCATTGATATAATGGAAGATGGCAACATTAGGAGAGCAAAAGAAGAAACTAAATGATGGGGAAAATGAAGAAAAGACAATAGTACAGTAAGATCTGTTTTCTGAAAAGAGATAGAAGAGAAGACAAAAAAAGAGTAGAGAGTATAGTATAGTAATGGCCATCCCGTCATGCCATCCCCAAGGTTAAATGAGAACAGGGGAGAATGAATTGGCTCTAAAGGCTCATTCTGCCAAAACTAAATGAAGCAATAACATCAGAGAGCTATAGAACCCCATTAACACTTAACTTGGGAGAAAGGGAGCAAAGGGTTGGGCAGACAAAGAGGGATAGAGGGAATGTGGCTGACAGAGACAAAAAGAGACAAAGAGAAGAGAGTGTGCTATGGAAACCCAGTGTCTCTAGGAGGAGACAGTGAGAAATGTAGAATATGAGTGAGGATGGGTGCAATGGAGAGAGTGATACGAGTGCCCTCGTCCTCCTCCCTCTTTCTCCATAGTAATATGATGGTTTCAGGCTGAGCTCCTTAATGAAGAATCTGGGTAATTCTGAGGACAGTGCCTCTGGGAGTGAGGGGGGTGCGGGGATGGGTAGTGTAAAAAAAAGAGATGAAAAGAAGGATGAGACAAGGGGAATATGAGAAAAAAAAGCAAAAGGATGAAATAGGGAGAGACGTGTACAAGCAATAAAAAAAGCGATGCTCTGCTAGTGGGAGAGGAAGGCTGAGTGTGTTGTGGTGCTTGCACCATGACTCTCTTCCCCATCTTCAGACTCAAGACTCTGTCTCTTTTCCGTGTCCAGTGTGCGTTTGTGTTTCTGGTTGCCTTCTCTCCTCAGGAGATCAACTGACCACTCACCCTTAACCGCCCTTAAGTCCCTCATCAGCCTCCTAACTGAAGATAACTTTTCACTGCCGGTATGCCAGATCATCAGTGCTCCCACTATATTCTATTCCCCTCCGCCCGTTTCCCTCTACCAGCTGCCCAACATAAGCCTGCTTTTAAACTAGTTAATTACATTTGACTCCACTAGATGTGAAACTGCAATTTCCTTTTGCCACTATTCACTTGAACCATGTAAGATCGTACGGTCTTCAACCATCATGAACCTACAAACACTGAGATGTTCACAAACTGTGAACGTTCCTAAATAGACGGTGACCAATGTCTGTAAACCATTTAATTTTGCAACGATATTGGCTTTGTTAAAGTACAGCTCTTCTCAGAACGTTACTTAAATTGTAATGCATGTCACTGAAGTATTTATAAATTTTAAAAACATATTATTTTTGACAAAAATGTATCTTCAAATTGATTGATTAATGCTATTGGCTTTACCAAATTTTTAAAGCAAATCCACTGGAAAGAAATGACACTTATCTGACGGCAGTAAGACACGTCTGACAGTACCTAAGATGACAATCCATGACATTCACATATTGAGGTTTTAAGTTTCTTTATGAAACTATTAATATTCATGCTCTTATATGTGCCTCTTCACAGGTGTCCTGCATGAATAAAACAACTTGCCAAGAGAGATGAAAAGTGAATGAAAATGGGAAATCATTTGGAGTAACACTAAATGATTTGTCAGTCTTTGTCATGCTCATCCCCTGCTCTTGCTTTGTAACTTCATCTGTCTCTTTAAATGGGCTTAGTATATTAAGAAGCCTCCATTCCTCTGTCTCACACAATTTCCATAAGTGTCCAGTTCCAGTTGCCTTCAGATCAGTTTATTGTGACGTTTTAGGCATTTTGTGCAAGGCAATGAGGACATGTTATAAGAGAGAAAGAGGGACTACCAGTCGGACTTGATTTGGTTTGGTTTGTGTGATGGGTGTCTTAGCCCCTCGGGCACTGCATCTGTGCTCGTTCTCAATGGATGTCCGACCCCTGAAGATCTCAAGTTTGATGTAGTGTTTCACGTTGTGCATGACATATTGTATATACGATGCAGTGTGACAGAAGCCATGCATATGATTCAGTATGGTGCATGACATGCACATGAAATAAAATGGAACAAGACAGCATATGTTAGGGTACTTTCCGTAAATCTTTTAAAGATAGGAGGCTATTAAAATGACTTGACGTAGCTTCAGCTGATCTGGTCTTCAATCAGGTCAACGTGTTTGGCAATTTCCATAATCATACGTAACACACATACACATTCATTTACAACTTCTTGCGCACGTCTCACACACACACGCATGCACTCATGAACAGTGTGCAGAAGGGCATTAGTATTATGGCCTTCAACAGTCATATACTCATTGTAGCCTTCAACAGAAAATGTATTGCTCTAGGACATAAACCAGAGGCCTTGGGCTCCGACAGTGAGAGTTGTGATTCAAAGGAGGAGGGGGAGAGAGAGAGAGAGAGAGAGAGAGAGAGAGAGAGACACAGGTTTTGAGCAAGAGCAACGCAGCAACGCGTGTGTGTGTGTGTGTGTTTGAGTATTTGTGTGGGTGTTAAAAGAGCCACGGTGTGTATTTGAGCACACCCACACACGTGTGTCAAAGTGTATCTGTGTGTGCGTGTGAGTGTGCGCGCATATGTGTATGTGCGTCCCCATGGTGCTGACGCAGGTGTTGCCATAGACGACAGAGCGGTCACCACAGTGACCCTGAGTGGAATAAGGAAGTGTCTCCTGAATACCAATGAGATTCCTCCTGGGACATAAAGCGACCAATCACAGCTATCATCTCACCTCCAGCCTATCGCCTGCCCCTCAGCAGGATTAACCAATCAGAATTAAACACTGATATGCTCCGACTAGCAGATCAGTTACAGTATCTCATACATGAATTATCATCAACACATTTCAATTCTGAAAATAATGCTGCTAAGCTGACTTTGTTATTGCTGGTAAGGCTTGCTGTGTTATATTGATATCAATTACATTGAATGCGTAGAATTCAAATGGAGCAAAGCCCAGTTGAAAGCTAGTTTAGGCAGACAACCTGAGCTGAGTTGCTACACTCACACATGACATATTACTTTGTGCATTACATCTACATGTGTACATATGTAGTATGACACAAGTATGGCACTAGTCACAAATTATTTGTGATGCAATAAACACATGAAATGGTCATATTCCATTTCGTTCCAAAGTGATGAATAGCAATGTGTGTCAATTCACAACAGCAATTTGAACATGAGAGTTTGCTTGACAGACAGACAAAGACGGAGAGAGAGAAGGCGATTTACCTTGTTGGGATTTGAAGCAGTAATTATCCACACACACTGTGCGTTGCTCTCGTATTGAATTGGGAAGTTAGGAGATGTAAAGGTTCCTGACGGCCCTTGAAGATTACTGCCACATGTCTTCACTGTGAACGGAACAAACAAAAATAAATTGTTATTAGCAGCAACTGTAGAAGTTGTAGTATTAGCAACAACAATTGTGCACTGTTGAGTCACCGCGCTACAACAGAGAGGCAATTACCTTTATAATTAAGCCATTAGGTATATGCTTAGCCACTGAGTCTCAGAATAAATACAACAGCAAAATATAGGACAGTTGGTGGATCAAAGATGCCGTGGAGAGAAAAAACAATTAAAAGTGACGCGACTGCAATGCTAACAGTGTGATGACAGAAAGAGAGAAGAGGAGACCCGAACAGAAAGAAGAACAGCAGGTCAGAACGATGTTATTGATACTGTCAGCGACATCTCCCTCGATAGAAGTACTTAATTGGAAGCTATTGGCTGTGAAATACCACAGGATTAGCTGGTATTGACTGATAGAGACACTCGCCAGCAATTTACTCTCAAAATCTATTTAAAGTCAACAACCTCCAACTACTCGCAGGGTAAGAATTATATTTGGTCTTAAAAAAGAACTGAAACGCACATCTCACATTAGATACCACAGCAGGATGTAACAGATACAGCTTCTACTTGAGCAATAAAGCAAAGTTTGGTTGGCCAGTGTTGTACAAGTGTACCATGCAGTATGCCAACACAAAGTCATATGAACTCACAAACACTGACTGTGAAGCTACCACTCAGTGTGGTGTTGAAAATGACACATGCTAGTCGTTCAATAAACCAACAAAGCCTTTATTAGAGAACCTGCTTGTCTGTCCTTGGGTCATCCTGTTAGAGTTGGGAGGTAATTTTCTGGTTGGTTTGAAGCAGTGTTTGTTCCTTAATTAGTTTGTTCAGCGGTAGGCCGCGGGAACACGTACAGTTAACAGCCATGCGCGCACACGCACACACACATACACACAGAAACACAAAAGGACATTAACACATGCGGTTGATATGCACTGTGCAACCCGAGAAACACACGACGACATAATAGGCTTTCACGCACACACAGTTAGCGGTGTCACAGCAGACTTTCATGTGAGAGAACATTTTTAACATGCGTTCACACATAATTCACTCACCATGCAGACACAGTACACATAAATGCATACTTTCAAGCACCCACGCAAGCACACTACTGTGACTTAGTAGTTAGAAGGAAGGCAAGGTTCAAGTAAAAGCATTGTAGCACAGTGTGTTTGTGTTTCTTTGCATGTGTGTGTAATGGGGTGTGTCCGTGTGGTGCTGTAAGAGAGTGTCAGAACATGTACAAGGCCCCTTAGAGACAATCCCCTATCTCTCCCTTCTGTCTCTCTGCCTACGTCTCCGAGTTGCCCGACTGAACCCGGTTGACGCTTGCTTCTCTAATTCTGAATGCATCTGCAGCTGACCTTCTCTTACGTTCAGCTCACTGCAATTGATAACCCGATAGATACACAGAGATGAAGCGCGTGTGTGTGTGTGTGTGTGTGTGTGTGTGTTTGAGTTGCACGTGAAAAATGACTTGCATGTCTCAAAGTGTGTGTGTCTTTGTAACAGAGTGTGTATGCATGTGCGTTGACAGCTCAATCAGCGTGTCCTGAACGAATGGCCTTTCCTATCGCCCTGCCAACAGCAGAGTGGGAACGGGGTTGCTATAGCGATAGCGCGGAGAGAGTTATCACTGGAATTACCGGAGGAGCTAACATCCCATAATTTATATTAAACTCCACCCGTCTCTCTGCGTCCCCCTGTCTGTCTGTCTCTATGCGCCTTTTATTCACGCTGTCTCGGTCCCTGTATCAGCCATTGTATACACTCCATGATTTACAGTACACTCTATCATTCGCTCTCTCTCTCTATTTGTCTTCCTGTCCCTTTCTGCGCCTGTCTTCTGCATGTTTCATTTATTAGAGGCAGACTCGTGAAGTACAATTTTGAGGTGCTTCATTGAGTATTTTCATTTCACGCTACTTTTTTAATTCTACTCCAATTCTTAAGAAGTTACAGTTCCACTTTTGTTTATATTTGTTTATACTATATTTAGCTGACCACTATAGATACTAGTGGCTCCGCTAGTGAAGATTTCATATACAAGTACTAGTTTATACATTTTGATGTATATGTATATGTGTAAACAGTAGTGGTGCAACGGATCATAAAACTCAGTTTGAATCGTATTGCGGATCACAGAGAAGATCAGAACAAAAGAAACAAAGGGAGCAAATACAGGTCCCTGATCATGTTTTTTTTGCCGTAGATACAGATCCCTTTGTTGTTTCATTATAGCATCTGCTCTAAAAGGCTCCAGATTATTTTATTTTTTTCAGTGTAAACCATCAAAAATTCTAAATGTTATCCTTCTACTTTGTTAAAGTCATCTAGTTTTGTTTTTTCTTCATAAAAACACACAATTCAAATAAGGAAATAAAAGATTGCACTTTTATGGAATAAAACAAATCTTGTCTATAGTAGTTTTAAGGATGTATTGTAAACAGGTCATAATTCCCTCTCTAATATCTATTTATGTTGTTGTAAAAACATCTCTTTCTTGTCCAAAGACACACAACCGGCTCTTTAGCTGCTAAATTCTCCGCTATGTTTACTCGCAAGTTGCATAAATATCACAGCTTTTTCACTGGAAAAAAATATCTACTTTCTGCAGGAAGAAATGAGGTTAATGAGAGCCAAGTCTGCAGGCTCAAAGAAACGAAACAATAAGCTAAAAGATGCTAAAAAGCCTTGAAGAGGTGAACAGTGGGTGCTAATTCTCTCACCTTTTACATTTGATCTATTGTTAGTAGTAAAAACTTAATAAAGTAAGATTTTGAATGCAGGACTTTTACTTTACTTACATTATAGTTGTCTGTCTGTCTGTCTGTCTGTGTAGCATCGTCTCTGTCTGTATCTCCTTCTCTCCCTCTCATCGTTATTTATACTGGCTCTCAGTATAGAGGGCTTGAAGCCAAAAAGGCCACACTATCATTGAAGCCATAATGAATTCTAGATCAAATTAAAATTTTTGATGAGGTCTATCTGGTACTAAAAGCATATTGTTGGAATCACGAGCGAGATTAACTGAATGCTTGAGGCAGGAACCGCAGTGAGTATATGTGTGTGTGTGTGTGTGTGTGTGTGTGTGTGTGTTTAACAACATATCCTCTTTTGAATTTGTATATTCAGATCAACTGGATTCCCCCAGGAGTCTCACTTTCTCTCTCTCACTCTCTCTCAAGCACACACTAACATGCACACTCATACAAACCGTTGGGATGTGGACCAAAATGAAATTATGTTTTGGGCAAGGATCGCATTTCAATGTAGCTCCAATGGCCTGCCTCACAGTTCTCTAAAGTTTTGTTTTATGGCTTCAGAGCATAACCCCATAAGATACCGGGAAGGTTGCTGTTTTTTTTTTTTTTTTTACAGTCCGAATTTTTCTCATCACAATGTTTTGACTCGGTACTCCATTCTAGCATAGCGAAAAACTCCCTAAATGTTTCCCCTGATCTCTGCCTAACACTCAAGGTCTATAACTGCTGTTTTCTCGGCAGGATGGCCTTCGCTGTCAGTGAGTCGTCCCCACAGTGGAGGGCTCATGTTCAATCAAGCATACAGCAATACCCGCTGAAGCATACTTGGACGCTAAACCCCTACCTGTTGCAGATTATCCGCCTGACCCTGTACCCCAAGCAGAGAGCATGAACAGAATTTTGGGTGAGGTAAATCAGAAATAAAATAAAGTCGAATCACATGGATGAGTTTTCCAAAGTACACAATTCATGTGCTTATTTGGAGAGGGCATGCTACTAGACCAGCAACGTCCTCGCTGTACAAAATGCATCTTTGGTCTCGGTGCTCATTTTTAAACTGCTGAACGTTTGGATATTGCAGACTTTTACTGGTATATTACTATTCGTTTAGCTTATGCTCCGTATCAAGCAAAGCTATAAGTGCATAGACTGTTGCATTTTCTTTTAAATTTGGGAATCACTCAATGGTATGCCTGTACTTAATCTACCTGTCCATCACAAAATGACTACAAGCTAAGTTCAAGGTCATTTTTCAACATGGTTAACTTCCTTAGTATTTTTCACAATTTCTTCATCAAAGGGACTTCATGATTAAAGTGCATTCATTATTAAAGGATCATCCTCAAAAGGGGGAAATTTCTCATTAAAGTACCTCTGACGGATGATGTGTAACCAACTAGACAGGTAAGCTAAAATGAAAACATCAAATCAGGATTTTGACAGAAAGCCTTCGGGGGCATTTTCTATTTTGGTGTCAAAAACAAGGAGACGATCATGTTCATCTTTAATTACACCCTTTTGTCTGGAGTGTGTCTGTCTGTCTCTATGGTACCAATGAGTCTAGGTGATTTGAGTTTGGATGAATATGACGACGTCAGAAAACATAGGAGTAGAATACACTTCAAATCTGATTATATTATTTTGGTGAAAAGTTCATTTGTTCACACTGAGCGTCAGATCACTGTGTTGAGTCACAGTAGAGATCAGGAGCGTGAGCGGGGAAGGCCGAAATGGCTGTTTGAACAGGCTGCCTACAGGAGCAGACAGACTGACCAATGGACACAGAGAATGATTGATGACATCATTAAGCTGGCACACAATGTTTTCGATGGCCCACAGCATTTCCGATGGCCCTCGCTCTGGTCAGAGCTTTAATGGGCACACACACACACACACACACACACAAACACACACACATAGACACACAGACAGTCATCAGTGTAGTTGTTGAACAATGCCTGTACACTGAAGTTTATTTCTTTTGTCTCTTTCCTGTTTGAAGTCAAAATATGTGCATTAGTGTCTATCGGGTTGATGTATATCACCCGCCGGTGAGTCAGTACAGTCTGGCAGATCATGTGAGCTCCTCTGGAGTTCACACACACACAGATAGACGGAGAGAGAGAGAGAGTTGGCTTCGTGGCCTTGCCATCTGTCCATTAATCAAGGTGCCACATGGACTCTCTCTCTCTCTCTCTGTCTCTCTCTCATAAAGAGTTGGTGGAGTGCACAGAAGGACATTGCAATTTTATGGCTGTTTTTATAGTTTATTTGTATTTAGTTTTGTAATTGTTTGATTGAACTTAATGAAGTGATTGCCACTCTGTTTCCCCTGCTTTTATCCTCATCAGTCTCTTTCTATTGGTTGACCGTTTTGATATAAAGGGCACATTTTCAAGATACATTCACTTTATTTTCCCACTAATGTTCCAAACAACACATTTAGCTGTATTTAGTGTTTTGACAGAGGTGACCCTTTAATAACTCAGCTGGCTTGATGCTTCCTGACAGATTGCCCCAATTTCAATGTTATTCACGGGTTTCTGCTTTAGCTATTGGCTGGTCTGAATGTAAAGGTCAAATGTGAGCTGTGTTCAGCTAGACAAAGCCTTTCGCTCATTCCATAGTGGTTCAACTGGATGGAACAAAGTAGGGTAAATAAATAAAGGACACTGTGCGGAAGAGAACACAACGTTTTCTCGCTGAAGATCAAATCAACATGTAATGAAATACAACTATGGCTGCTTTGCTCACACACACTATCTTACCTGTTGAACTCATTCCAAAGTTGAATTTATTTCCTTGCGCACATAAAGCCAGCAGAGGTGCACAGAGGGGCACACGGCCATTTTCATTGTGCCAAGGTAGATGGAGCGGTGCTGCTCAAGTTGATTTTATGCAGATGCAGCACAATTTTTTGTTGGCTTAATTGGAATGAAATTGCACTGGCATTTCCATCAGCTTAGACCGTCTCTTCAAACATTTCATATCTTCAGATATTTCTGCCTTCTAAAGAACTTAATTTGCATGATTATACATTTCCGTGTCACATATTCAAAGAGGTATTGTAGGCATTTTTGGGAGCTGCCTACATATAATTGGCAGGTTCACTCTCAGAGGCCAGAAACTGGAGTTGAAGAGGAGTTGAGCTGATGTCTGGCCATTACTGAAGCCCACCATCAGCCCACAGTATCATACTAACAAGGTAGTCCTGCTCTAATTGTGCTGTGATTGCCGTTTCACAGAATGGCAAAAAATGAATTGGACACACATGCGCTTGCATTCAGCGTAATAGAGTCTAATGTGTCAGATGCCTAGAAAATTCCTACACGTCTTGATTGGACATGTCTGGACGACGTCAATATTGTATCCTGGTTGCGGAGTTGTTAATGAGGACGTCTGGCAAAGAAGGAAGACAATAAAAACATCTCACATTCTATTAGCTTTAGACTAGCCACTCTTTTTTTGCCTCTGAAGCATTTCTATTTTCAGAATTTCAATATTGTATTTTTGCCCCAAAGGGGAAAGGGATTTTTGTGAACAGGTTTTAAATATAGAGGAGTACTCTCTGTATTATTTGTTATGCTTTTCAGTGAGGCCAACACCACCGAAAACCCCCTATGTCAAGCTTTAAATGTATACTTGCAATGTTTATAGTTGCATAGAAGTGTGGCTGTTCTTTTTTGTTTTCTCTTTTGAGTGATCTTGGCACATAGCTCAAATAACGCCTCAGCATTGTTGTCAAAAAAGATATGATTCCAGTCTTTCGTGTATCTTGTCCTTCAAGCAACCTCAATGTGGTTATCCTGGGATTCATGAGATTTTTGAAGGTGGATGTCTTTCTGTTTCACCAAAGTAGGACAGAGTTATACTGCATAACAATGGCACTTATCAGTACTTCCATGAGCAGAAAAACAAAAAAAAAAATGTCCTCCAGCAATATTGTCTCAACAAGAAGCTTGTTATGGATATGTTTTTAGCATTCACGGCTATAGGTAGCTTTGTCAAAGATCACGTCATGAACTGTAAACAACGCACATCATGAATAGTTAGTTCCTACTGTTTGCCGTTTAGCATAGGGTAGCATTACTCGAGCTATGCAGCTTGTTTTAAGGGATGATGCTGCAGTAACAGTGCCCTCCATCGTGATACGCTTAAAATAAGAAAAATCAACGACAATAGTCGCTAGTTACTTAGCAACAACCACGATGCACTTTGTCGTGGCTTTGTCAAAAAGGTACTCACCTAACAGTTGCTCGTTCTGGGAATACCAGCGACTCTGCTTTAAATTCAACAGAGTTTTGAACAATGCTACTGAGAAGTTAAAGCAATAGCTTGGTGAAAGTGTCTCAGTCAGCCTACAAAGATCCCTGCTGACCGCGGACTGATAGCTCTGTTTCCGAGTGATGGAGGTCGTTCATTTTAACCATTCACAGGGGACAATAATCAGGGACTTTAAATGTCACTGGCAGCTTCCCTTTGGGGAAGCTTAGCCCATCAGCACATGCAGGTAAATGGGAGACTTCATTAGCTTAATGTCAGTAGCTGTATTTAATTGCTAATTATAAAGTATTTAGCGATGATGAATCCCTAACAGCCAATAACAATCTTAAAGAGCCAATCAACGGGTGTCATCACTATAATAATAAGTTGGGTAATAAGGTTTATTTGCAGGAACCAATGAGAGCCCAAATGAGACAGTCCTGGTCCTAACTGCAGGCCAGGTTATAACCTGCCAGCTTACAAGGACCTGTGCTGTCATACTAGCAAAAAGCTAAATGAAGGTCAGTCCCCCTGTGTGTCTGTTCACAAAAGAAACCCAGCGTAGCAGTCAAGGATGGTGGTGACACTGTGTCCTTTAGCCAGAGTGCAAGAGTTCAGGGCCCATGGCTGCCCTGCTGCTGAGGTGTCCCTGAGACCCCTGACTTTACACTTTGATCTCCCAGTGCAGCGCTAATAGAAAGAAAGTTTCTCTACTAAGTAGGGATGGGGCAAATTGTCAATGTAATGAACATAAATGTGCAAGTTGGTTGGGACAGGTGGAAGCATGCATTCCCCCGGAGAACAAGCTGCAGCTGTGACTGGTGTTGTTACAGTTTGTAAATTGTTTCAATTATTTCACTTGCCCCACACTGATGCAAAAATACATTTGCCATCACTCCAGTGTTGAAATCCAATCCATGTCATAAACATTTGAAATTTAAAGAAAAATACTGGTTCACCAAATCAGAGAAAGGGTTGCTTTGAAAAACAGTGATTCAATGAATCTGTGTGTCACACGATCCTTTTTAATTTGAGGTCCTGTGTCTTTCTGATCAGGCATCTGACAAACTCATTTATGGGTAGGTTGATTATCTAGTTATTTGTTTGTTTTGAAACATTGAAATATTAATCAGAAAAGTTTAGATATTCAGTTTTGGTAAATTGTTAATTGTTAAATTAATTGTTATTTTAATGGAACATAAATACAACAGGTTAGTTGAGTTAGTTAGATTAATCAATTTATCATCATTTATGTCTGGCTGTAATCAGTGTCTTCAGAAGGTTCCTCCTACAGCTAGATTAAAAAAATGGGAAGTTGCAAATGGTTCAATTTAACATGGCCATCTACATGTGGGAGTTATGTTCCGAATACTTAAAATCTGCCATCAGTTATGCAAAAGTTTAGGTGGCTTTCATATGCTAATGTCTTGAGATGGATACAGTGAGTTTTACTTTCACGGAGGGTATAATTGAAGCAGAAAGAGTAGGTGTGACATTTTTCAGCTTTTCCTTGCCTCCTTCCCCTCCTCCTCCTGTTTCTCCTCTGTCCCTACTTTCTTCTCCCTTGCAGTTCTATATCTCAGTGATTATTAGTTTGGTGTTGAAGCTCTCTCTCTCTCTCTCTCACTCTCTCTCTCTCACACACACATACATACACAACCCCCGCACCCAGTGAATATTGGTTTTTATGTTAAAGTATGTGTCTCCAGCCACAGTCTGAAGCCTAGTGAAGGGAGACATGACAAACGACTTTGGCATTTAACATGACAGACGCCCTCTCTCACTTCTGTCTCACTCCCTCTGTGCATGTGAGTGTGTGCATCTGAGAGTGTGTGTTGCATAAGACACTGAGACAGTGGCACATGTGAAACCGGAACCAGTGCTGGAAGCTGAAGAAGGAATATCTGAAACGTGTTAAAATGTGTCACGTTTGAAACTGTGAGGTAAATTGCAATTTGTAAGACCTTGTTCACAGTAGTGTTTACAGTGTATTGTGTTTATGATAGAGGGTGTAATTATGGGTCCTGACTATCATCACTATCATAACTGCCTTGATGTAACAATACGACCGCAGCATGTTGGTGTGGCGCAACCTGCAAACATGGGATTATGGAGTGTTCTGTTTCATCATTTTCATAGCCAGAGGCTTGAAACTGATTTGTGATTCTTTCCACTACAAACTCAGCACTCCGAACTCCAAGGCAACATTTTGTGGCAACTGGGGGATGTTATGCTTAACTGTGTTCTTACCTTCACATGTGTGCTTACTGCCTTTTTTCTCCAGCCGTCTCTGTGTCTGCTACTGTGGTGTCAGTAATTTGTATGCTTGTGCAGGCGCGTGTCGAGAGCCGTTTCTTACCTTTACAGACTGGTCTGTGGTCACTCCAGGCTGCGAAGACCTCAGCCACTCTCTGGCAGCTGATGGTTTTACTGCCCTGAAGAACATAGTCTTCTCCGCAAGTGAACTGCACCGCACTTTCAATGCTACACACACACACACACACACACACACACACACACACAAACACGCACACACACACATAGGGAAGACAGAGAGTTAGAAAAACTGAAATATAGGGACAAGAAATGTGTTAATGCATTTACTTTATGTGCAGACGTGCCTGTGTGTGCAGATATGTCTGAATACAAAGAAGTAATTTAAGGTCACCGTGTGAAACTTTGTGCATGCAAATTGTACCTGAAATCGCTGCCATGGCGTTTTCCATTCTCTGGCTCTCCCGGGTCAGGGCAGGAGTTGGATGCCTGTTTCACTCCTCCTTCGTTTACTACACAGAGAGACAGACAGGTGGAGAGCCAGGGACAGACGGGTTACAATAAGGCACCGACGAGGCTGAGCGCAAAGCAACACTAGCGTTCGGCGTCAGGAAATTTCCATCTCTCTACTTTTAGTTTCCGCTTTTGGAAGCATTGCCTGCATCGTCTCTTGTTATAGCTTCAGAGGCAGAGGGGAACAGGTGGGAGGAGAAACACGTTACACGGACCAGGAGATCGGGAGACAGACGGTAAGGTATAGGCAGACAGGCAGGGGACGACACAGCACTCCAGACACGATCTTAATTCTCACTGAAACACAAGAGCTAATCTTGACAGTAACATCCAAACAGCAACCAGACAACAGACAGAACCATACAATCACAACACACATGCTCCTGAGACGACACATCACTACTCTGTCTCTTTCTCCAATCACAATACTGCTGTTGATAGTATGTATGTAGCTTTTATTTATTTTGTTTATTTCTTTCCCTATCTTTGTTTTTCTACTTCTTTTTTGCTTGCTTGTTTGGTTTCTTAATCTTTTCCTGTCACTCGGTCTCCCCTGCCTCTTTTCCCTTATAAATAACCCCCACAGCTGTATTTCACTGGCTGTATTTCAGTATAGCATTTGCATTCCCACAAACCTCAAGCATTCTCTCTCTATTTCTCGTGAGCATTTAAAAGTTTTAAAACGTTTCAAGAAACATAGCTGCTGGGTTAACTTTGAGCGACGGACAGTGTGCGTAAGTGTGTGTGTGTGTGTGTGTTTGCATGTGGATGAGCAAAGAGACAAAAGTGTGTCTTTGCATCGCCGTCAGGTAAGTGAATAAAAGAAAATCACAAACAAAAGCTTTCTATTTTAAAACGTTTCCAATTCAAAACACATAAAACTCGTTTTGTCTTTTTTTTTCTCATACCAAAAGGGAACCATTATTTGCCACAGAGCTATTTCTAGTAGTTTGGCTCACAACTAAATTATTGGTAGCAATACAGCATCTTAATGAGCTAGAGTCCACTGATGACCTATTTTTACTCAAGTTTAGGCCCCACGTGACGGGATCTCTCGTATTTCTTAATGAGATCACAGTGAAGAGTAAAATGATTTTAATAATCCTTTAGTCCTCGTCATCTTTCATTCACACAAATGAAAGTAAAATTAGGCCACTCGGAGGATTTTTAATGCGCTTCTTTCAGTCGTTCATCCTTTCCTAATGTCTGGTGTCAGTGGAATTTTACTAGAGGGAAAAAACTGTCTTGGTGTGCTTATTTACTTCAGCGAGCAAACAAAACACCCCCTGGTGTACTTTGATATTCGAATGCAACACAACTGATCATGTATTTTAGTGTAGTATAATATTCAGACTGTTTCTCAAGCAGCAATAAGAACAAATTGCGTCAGTAGTCTGTTGATCACTTATTTCATTAGTAGCCTATGATTATGTCTGATTGTGAAAGAACATAACAGCTTATATTGTATTTGGATGGAGATTGACACTATCCTCATGACACATTATTCGTTTTTTCTTCATCTAGCTTTTATATCTAAACGTTAATTTTACTGCTGACAAGTCACCGTCACCTTATCTAAACAAGGTCTTGTTGCACAGAAGACTGCCCCAAAATAATATTTCACCTATAAAAAGCAAAGAGGAAAGTGTGAAGAACAGAAAAGAGCTGCTGAGTTTGATCAAAGTCCCACCGAGTCAGTAAAACAATACATAATATAAATATATAATAATAAATGTTTAAAGCACTGAGTGTAAGGCTGCAAATCGTATCTTTATTCTTGAATATCAATCGCCACAGTGATAATTTTCTTGATAGTTAAAAATAATGCTGATAATGCCCTAAGTATGCTGTTTTAGTTTGTACATTTTTCATATGTGTTGTGTTGTATAATCCTAATGAAAAAGCTAAGATTTGAAATAACTCAATTAGGTGTAACAAACGCAGAGCGATAATTGTGCCTATTTATACTTCCACCCAGCCTGTCCGGGCTAACCGACTAACATGCATGTACATGTTTAGTCCTTATCAACAAACCCAGCAGGTGGTCGGTGTGTGTGTGTGTGTGTGTGTGTGTGTGTGTGTGTGTGTGAGTGTGTGTGTGTGTGTGTAGATTAGATAGTTTGTTGCTTTGTTGGAGCGGCTAATTTGACCATCTGGACTATTAACACCAAAACAGAGGGACAGGTTACAGTATCAGTGCGGTGCGCACACACACACACACAAACCATCAACAGTCACATACTTACACACACACATGCACATATACAAAAACACATGTACAGAAACAATAACACGCACATATGCACGGACAGACACACACAAACGGGTTTTGTGCTTCACCGGAGAGTTAAACTAGTCAGAGCGGAGCAAATTAACATCTGAACCAATCAGAGCCAGACTAATTAACATACAAACTCACAGCTGTAGAATCGAACCTCAACCATGACACCCCAAACTGTCAGGAAAACTGATGAATATGGGATGCGCTGTGTCTCTGTGCTGTGCTTAGCTCGGCTCATGCAGTATTTATTCACACATAAATACAAAGTGGACAAGCAAATAAGGAAAACAAGCGGATAAATCAGAAATGTAAAAAAAAAAAAACAAAAAAACATAATTGGCAAGCATGCAAACCAATTAACAACATGGACAAGCAAGGTTCACTCGACTTCATGTGTGTGTACAAGTTTGTGTGTTGGCATGTATGAGAGTGTGTCCTTGCATCGATGCAAATGTGTTTGTCATTTTGCAAATATGTGCTTATTTATGTAAGTAATGCAAACGTCAAAAATGTGTGTAGTGTGCTCAGGATTAAACTAGATGGGAAACATAAACATACATACATATCATAACCGTTAATGTGTAAGTGTATGTGAATGTGTATGTGCGTGTGTGTGTGTGTGTGTGTGTGTGTAATATAGGAGAGAGTAGAGAAGATGTAATAAAGACATAAAGAAGTGAGAAAGAAATAAAGAGGGAATTAGATGTAAGATAACTCTAAAATATGTTAGGTTTATGTGGGCACTGACAGCTTTAATAAGTGGAACTTCAGTAAAATAAAAAAGGTACTGATCTCTTTCTTGGAGAATTTTCATGCTTTTTATGCATGTTCTCTCGATGTCAGAGTGTTGAACGAAATTAAATAATACTCATGTGACCACTTTTACAATACGGTGCGTCAAACGACTTATAAACCATTAGCACCCTTACGCTGGATAATTTGACTTCAGGCTGTCTTATTTAATAGTTAGTTTTCCAAAGTTTTACAACGTGGGATTTCACAAAGTTTGAGGACATTGTGGTGGTTGCAAAAGAAGAGCAGTGAAATAACAGTGAACTTTTTGTACTTGTACTGGATTTAAGCCTATAGCGTGTAGAAAACTTGGAATAATAAATCCGCAACAGTGCTTTTGACTTGCTGCTGAATGTGAGAGGGTATACTCAAAAACTTTAATATAGATGTGAATAATAGTGGAGATACATTAGTTACTCTTTTATATTCTCGCCACTGGCCTCAGGGCAAAGGGATGCTGTTATAAATGTAATAATTGCTTTGATGCCCCCAAATGACCTGTGTATAAAAGTTCTACATAAATCTAGTTTAGGTGTTTGATAGGCGGAGAAGAGAAGGGTGAGGAAATAAAGGAGAAGAGGCAGGAAGGGGGCGGGAAACAATAATACAACAGCTGATTCATATCCCCAGAACAAGCCGAAAGCAAGGCAAAACAAACCATGATCAAGCCATGATTACATACATCAAAGCAAGCCATGAAGAAGCATGCATAAACCAAGACACCGTGACGAAAATGCATATACAAAACATCAAAACAACAAAAACACACAGCAGTCAGGCAGAATACAAAAGCACGCTCTTATAAAGGCTGTGGCAATTTCCAACACATCGCTGTATGAAGGGATGTCTCATTTAAACATCTCAGTCATAGATTCAAGCTCTATGTTTCTGTGAATTGATGTTGCATGTACCGTCTGCACACAATATGTTTGTGTTGTCAATAAATACAGGCAAAACGTGTTGGAACTAACAGCCCTTATATGAGACAAAGTAAAAAATATAATAATACAAAAGCAAAGCAAAACCAAACCTAAACACGAAACCAGTCCAGGCCGCACCAAGCCATCACACATTAGCTCATTAGCCACAGTGACATTAAGTTGTGAACTCACATATTGAAAACTTGTTGCTGGAGTCTTTGCCAGGGAATAATTTAACTCCCCGCGATTTAAAATCTACTGATCGCTTCACTGCGGAGAAGAACAGAATACAGAAGAATATCAGACAGCAGATTGGATAAAGTGAGGAAAATAAAAATGAGAGCAAGCAAAGGAATTTAAAAAAGGCAGATTCTTCTCCCTCGCAATGCTGAGAGAGAGAGAGAGAGAGAGAGAGAGAGAGAGAGAGAGAGAGAGAGGAGTAGAGTGGAAAAGAAAGTTACAAAGGCAAAGTAAATCTTAAAATGGTGGAAACAGATAGCGAGAGGGACATAGAGAGACAGCAAAAAGTTAAAGACAGAAGCAAGACGGAGAAAAGAAAGTAAGAAAAATGATTTCAACAATAGCATCATTCAGAGTTTTTGTTCATAAGAAGCTTAATCTCTCTCTCTCTCTCTCTCTCGCTCTCTCTCTCTCTGCCACTCAGAAACATACATTAGATGTCGAGGTGTTTTACTGGAAGCCCCATCATATTCTGAACAAAAGCTGGTAAAGGAAAATTACAGCTTGAATCAAAATGAAAATGTTGCAGCTCTGTAATCAAAGCAGTCAAGTAATGGTACGTTAGAAAGTGAATAGTTCTTTTATTCTGCGCAAATCAAAGACAAAATGAGACAAACTGACAGAGGGATTCTCGAGCACTGTGTTCTTACATACGGGACATGGTGTCATACAGTTAGCAGTGCTGCCCCTGTATGTTACTACAGCTCAGCACGTACGGTTGGAAAGACAAAGTGAGTGGGCAAGAGCTGTATTAGAGTCCATGCAATAATAACAACATCAAAAACACCCTGCGGTCATTTGAATTTGACTCTCTCCAGATTTGATTTTTTTTCTGCTCTCTCCTGTCCAAAAAAAATGAATACATTACCAACATAAATAATGAAAACATGAACACAAATATGTCTTGTCTTCAATGACAAAGTACAGTGACAAATCAGTTTAATGGATGTCTGATAGCGTGGCTGACAGTCGCTGTTTTCGTAATGACCTGACTAATCCAGTGAATGGTGACAAATGGCAGATGAGTTAATGTATTACGATTATCCTAATGTTTTACAGAGGCTACATATATGCACACAAAACTGTTATATTGTCAAATAAATTATACTTGGCATGGTGAAATTACATCGTGCGCATTTTATGCCAACAATTATCCTAATGTTGCGGTGTACATGCACATATGTTAGCGGTACTCTACTTACCATGATGATATTATACAAACTATATTAATGTGCTAACGATTAATGTGTTGTAAAGTGGCTGAACATGAGCTCCATTTGTGTGTTATTGTGTTAACTTACCAGCATGACAAGTGGTTCCAACTGCATGTGTGTGAGTGTGGTGGGTGCATGTGCGACAAGTCGCGCGAGATACCCCACAACCCATTCTATTATACTCGTTTGAAAGACAAATATGTGAGGTACATAACCAATCTTGTAAAAATAGATGGAAACACAAAGCCTAGAACTAGCCTAAGAACTAGACTATGGACACATGTGCTGAGCAGGCCAATTTCTTTTTTTCATATATACTCAGTAGCTATGGCAGTAGTGACGTACCGTACTGTGCATCATGCTGTGAAACTAATTAACACATTGACACATTATCACTGCATGTTTGCCATATGCCGTTGTATAGCTGATATTTCAAAGGAATAATTGTATATACATCAAATATTCTCACTGTGTTACCTTGAATTTGTGAAGGAAACTTTGTTTTTGTCGCATGTCTCCACAGGGAACGAAGAATAATAGTGTACATAATAGTGTACTAAATAGGACAGTAAGTGAAGATACACTTGCTTACATTAGACAGTCTTTTAGAAGTGCTCACACATCATGCCTTCATAAATGACCTGCAAGTGATCCCTCCTTAATTCAACCACACCTAGACATTATCACTTTTCCTCATGTGACAAAAATACCTCATTTAAGTTATTTGTAAGCAAACGACATCTCGTAAAAAACACAAGGTTTTCATCTAACCACAGGCAGTGTAACGGCAAAAAAAAACAGCTAAACTCTGTGGTTCTATTTATCTCGCTTGTCATAGAGGTGAGAATGTCCCTCTGTGTGAGCTGAGCGGATGGGAAATCATGTCTTTTTATTGCTGTAAATAAAAACTCACAATATGCTGTGCTTTAAAAGGTCCACTGTGATACCTCCAGATAACAAGAACATGGGGATGTATTTCAAATCTAAATAGACTTTGGTTTCAAAGCACATACGCTTTAGGCCTTGATGTATTTTTAATGTTCATTTGTAATGACGTCACCACCTGACGTATTTTTTTAATTGGAAAAGAGAAATCAATGCAATTCTTAATCAATAATTTACACATATCATGAACGCATACACATGTCCCTTACACCTTCAAATAATTAGTCAGAAATTCTCCATTAATGAGTTTGCTCCAAGCAACTCATGTACTCATAAACCTAATGCCAAACACTTTAACTAACTTCACTGTAACCCGTACACAAAGAATACAATTTGTCATCCCCAACACTGGTGTCATAGATATTCAAAATGAGAATACTATTATATATCTGACAGTATATCCGACGTAAAAAAGGCCTCCACTGAATTTGTTCTTCAATATTTAAGATTCATACGTCCCCGGGTTATTCTCGTGTTTTTAGAAAATTGCACAAACAATTTGGAACAACTACAGACAGCTGTATTTGAAAAATATATATAGTTCACATGAAACTATGATAAAAGTGGAGTGAATACATTTTCTGTTTAAATGCATTGCAGACATAACAACCACTTCGGATGCATGAAGCCTTTAGTCCCTTGGACACTGGGTGGTATAGTTCTCATTTGTGTTCATTTAAAAAATGCACAAATAGTATAGCAGAACATAGAGGGGGGGGGGGGGGACAATACATTACATAGTTGTAGGAATGCCTTCAGATTGAACTTGTATTTGAGAATGTCCCGAGTGTGAGAAATCAAGAACATTCATCAACAGACTTGTTATTTATGACAAGGGGAAGCTGTGATCTAGATCAAAGCCTTATAATCATCTTTGAGATGTTGCCCCCCCCCCCCCTCTTAGGCAGCCAAATTGGGAAATCCCGGCCAAAAATTGTTAAAAGTCAAATTTGTTTTTGCCTATCCAAATTCATTCACAGTATCAAGCCCCCGTTAATATGCATCATAAAACCTGTCCTGCGTGAATGTGCGTCAAAGTTAAATATGCACGTGTTGATATTCTAGCCTACAAGCAGCAGCTCTACTGCAAACAACAGATGGAAGGGCAGATGCATTTAAGTAAACCATATGCATGAAGTAAAATATTGCATATTTAACAAAACTATATTTAACTAGCAACAAAATAAATAAGAACTGAACTAAATGTTAACAGTAAGACAGCAAACACACAACCTAGTTCACCAAAATACACACTTAAAAAAAAAGCATCTCCTTCAGTCTGATGTAGTCCTGCTACTGTACTTTCAAACCAACATCCCATCATATAACATATCATATATTCTCTTTCAGAATGTATTCCCAAAAGCTCCACCTACTCTGTAAGCCACAGGCAGGATCCAGCTCAATGACTCACATTTTTTCGTCATATTTGCCGGTTAACCACAATACCATCTGGATTTCACATTTGTTTTTGGCAATGTGGAGCAGTGAGGCGTTCTCTCTAAGGAGGTGATTTGAGCAGACAGGCATCACACACTTTGATTGAACTCACCAGCTTTTCAGCTAAATGCCCTTCAGTGGTCGCCCCCCATGGGAAGGCAAATATTTCCTGCCATCTATTGTAAAACCATAGATTTATTCGTCTTATTTCCAAAACTGAACAATCAAATCCACATGGTTGACAGGCAGATATGAGCAACTCTCCCTATAAGCAGCACCTCAAACAGCATGTTCATATACTGCTTATACTGTAACTTAAATTAAATATTGTCATGCTGCAGAGATGTCCTGGCCTACACATCATATTCTACAGACGTATGAAAACATCTTTGTTTGCTACAGATCCTCACAGAAATCACGCCATAATAATGACATGAATTATCATTACCTCTAACATCGCAATTTGTCAAAAATAATCGTAATCAGATACTTTTTCAAAATTGCCCTACACGAATTAAACAGTTCATGCTGAGAGATGAGTTAAATTACCAGCTAATGCAATTAGAAGTAAAGATTGTTAATGCAATAGCCATAGAGCATGGATTGAATTAGCGGGGGGCATTTTGCTGGTGGTAACATTATTTGTATTTTAAGTTAGTATCAAGTCCTACACCAGGGAAACACAGTCGAACTTATAAGGGAAAAAACACACTCAAGTCACAGTTTACTTCCGTTCACGCTGGTGAATTACACTGAATACTGCTAAACAGAGCGCTGTTGGCTTGTTCATTCAAACTTTGTTAATATTGAACGTGTTGCGTGTCCAAATAGCATCTAATTTGACAAAAAGGGCTCAATGGGGTGACCGGAAACACACCGAACAAGTGTGAAGTAGATCAGGTGAGCGGTTCTCGAGATATGCGAAGACAGACAGCGATGCCTTGCTTTATACTTAGATGTATAAAATACTTAACTCTCACTGCATGTGTTTAATATGCAAGTATTTAGCAGGCTCAAATGGTACTTGAACTAGACAGAAGGTGGTGATAGAAATATGAATGTGTAGGTTGCAATGATCAATATACACCTCTGCCTACATTGAGTTCATCATGGCTCTAATACGTGCAATTAGTGAGTGCAATCAGTGGGGTGGGAGCAGTTGTCAGTGCTGTAGACATCTGATGAGCTATTTTGTAAGTACAGACCAGCAGTCATACAACATCATCAGATTGTGTCTGTGCAAACTGGCTGCATTAATTAAACCAAGTATGGTCCCTGCCATTTTGACATAGCGACGTTAGAAAAGGGATTCAACGATGAAAGCCAGTGCTGTTGAAATGCAAGCTCCAAAATAACATAAAAAATGATATACAGGGGTAGTCCATAGATATATGAGCTCATGTGAACCCTCCGAGGCCTACAGTGTCTCTGTACTTAGTTTGAGTCATGGTTCTTAAGCTAAAGCTGACAAGGAAAAGGACTCGGGGATTTATTTACACAGAAACTAAATGGTATATGCCACATGTGCTAAATGTTTTTTAGTGGCTGTAAATATTCAGAGCATTTCAAGATGTATGCACTTGATCACCTGCAGGTTTGAGGCATTGTGAGAGTCATATCAAAGGTACCATGCAGTCGACAATATCCAATATGTCAGCCTCCCTGAGGGGTAAACTGTCGCACTGCTGGAGATGAATAATGGTTCCGTACCAGTGGTTGACTGGTGTTTCTTTTGTACTGGCTGACTTATTTTGTTGCCACAGCATTGGCTGACTGATAATGCCGTCAGTTGTTCATTAAGAGCCAATCACCGCCCTGCAGACACAGAAACTAATGAATACGTAATGAAGAGAGATGATGGAGGGATGTGATTGGAAGGTTCTGCCGCAGGGAAGGAAATAGATTGTTCATGCCTGACACACGTGTAGACACAAGACAAACTGGCACACACACACGCACACACTTGGACACAAACAAAAGACACACACAGCTGCACACACCCATAATATATCCAAAGAAGCATCGACAGGTTCATCAACTTAAAGTAGACACACGTGCAGAAACATATAGCAGGAGACGCGCCTGCGGGGATGAGCGTGATTTCAGACACTAGTACAGATACATGGGCACGTAATTCTGTATGTGCACAGGAGGACAGATAGATAGACACACACACACACACACACACACACACACACACATAAGGTGACACATTTCAAAAACACACATTCACAGCCAGGTGTTGAGGGCGTGGGGTTGGGCATTAGAGCAGAGTGCCATGCAGGGGAGAGTGTGGACAGAATATCTAATCAATGTAACCCTCAGTATTTGCTCATCCCCATCCCACAATGAGGATTGTATTTTTCTGGTATATTGGCACAGAATCAGTAAAGAAAGAACATACAACAGAGCCCCATATAATGAGTAAACAACTGTAAATTACAGAGACAAGGAAGCTAGTGCACAACCGATCTAGAAGAAGCACTATGTCTTTATCTTTCAATGATAAAATGAATGTTTTCAGGTATGTAAACAACCTTCAAGTATGTGTCTGCCTGCAGTGTACAGTAATTAATGCAGCACATTGTCTGAGAAAGGAACCAGTTCAACAGATGACTGCATGACTGAATACAGTGGGTGAAGTCTTTGCAGATCTTCTTATATCTAATTAGAATTGATGTCGAGGTAAATTCACATTTGCATTCAAGAGGAAGGCTGTTGAAGAGTATTGCATTGTTGCTATTTCCTCTGCTGGGGTATTTGTACAAAAACAGCCACAGGTCGGGGTCAGGGGTCAAGATCCCACTGAAATACAGGAATGAGAAGCTACTAGGTGTGACATTTTCATTATGCTGATGTTGGAGAAAATTGACTTTCTTAACATTTCAAGTGTTAAATGCTGAAAGAGCCTATTGATTTTGAGATGACGACTGAAGGTCAGAGAGAGCTGTCAGTGCAACGGCTCCCTCCATTCTCTGAGGCTAATTTGTCATTTGTGCTATTGGGCTATACAAATTGAATTGAAATACACCTTTTTGTTGCTTATGGTTGCTCTGGACTTACTCAGATAGCTGCTTACATGACTAACCAGTTATGTGCAACTAAAGTAAAATGTGTGAGCAAAGAAGGAAAGAAAGAAGGTGAATTGAAGCACAAACTCACTGATTGCGTGTGGCCATATCCACATGCAGTGTGCTTCAGGTGTGGCTCTAGAAATGTCTGGATGCTTTTCAGCTTTTTTTACTGACATGATGACGGACATAGATAGCTGTTCTCTTTTAATAACAACTGAATGCTACCGCTGGCTTTCAACCGCTACTTTTTGAGCCAACAGGAGGTGAGTATGTGATGCCTAAAATATTATCCCTAAAAGTTGAAATATATAAACTCTCAGTGGTGATAGGTGTGTATAGCAAAAAAGTAGTGAAATTGTTATGAAAGGTTGAGTGGATGCCTGCAATTTAATTAGCAGATTGGAATCAGCCATTTGAAGATGCACCTGCTAGCAGAGTGTGATCCTCCTGGATTTATTCTAGATTTTAATGTGTGAAAAATATGCTTTCAAATGCTGTAAGATGTCCCAAGTGCACCTGGCTCTGCTTTCAGCAAGTGCTGAGTCCTGAGAGAAACAATCAATATTTGAAAAGTATCAAATGGTTTTGTTACCACCCTACAGACGTCAACTTAAACATACGGTTCATATCTAAGAGGTCTACTTACACCTGTATTAATTGTTCCGGCTTTGCACGTATAGTTCATTTGATGAACGTCCTCTACATTGACACAGCATTAGGGGTGTGTAAATAGGCCATCCTTCAACTACACTACAAGAGTGCAATGTTTGAACTGAAAACATCCATCTTGAATGCATTTAGGTAGCAAATGTTCCTTGAAACATTCAATAATTTATCGAACACCAGCACTACACATGGAACACCATTGTTCATTTTTTCCAACATCATTAAAATAATGCATCACAAAAGCAACCTCTGATGTTTGAGAGGGAATATTGTAGCATTGATGCAGTAATAAGGATTCTTAGATGACCTCGCATATTTCTCTCTGAATCATATCCTTCCAGTCATATTTCATTTCCCCCCCCCCTCCTCCCTGTTTGCTTGGCATACTGATCACACCTTTTTTCTTTTAAAGTGTAATCAACAGATTAAGACGATTCTGGTGAGGTTCATTCTGTGATTTTAATCACATAGTGTTTTCTACACTGTGACACGATGACTCTGACGCATTGCCAGGATCTCTCCATTCTTGCCCCCTCCACCACCACTTTCTGTAATATTAATGTTCATTGATAGGGGCCTGACATTATTTCCCAGTGTTCAGACTAAAATATGTACAGTAAATGGAAACACTGGCAACCGTTCAATTGACAAGATGGCTGGCTGACTGGCCTGCTCACTGGCTGACTGCCAGACGCAATGGCTGACTGACAAGCTGACTGACTAGACACTTCAGGCGTTTACCTCACACTGTTAACCAAGCTACTTACAGTAAGTGCAACAGGAGGAAAATTCTGATTGACCAGTGGATCGACTTAGTGAATGACAATCACACTGTAGGAATGTAGCTGCTTTCTAATGTGTAATGGTGTGCACTGCAATTTGTTTCAATAGACTCAAGCTGAAAAACTGCTTAGCTGTCTGACAAACCGCATGGCTGCATGAACGAGTCATGAAGATCAAGTCAAAATTAAAGACAATATGATGTAATGGAGTTGCTTATACCTCATCATGTATCACAATTTACTTAGTTATGGTTGCTAAGCTATGATTGGACAATCACTTTTAGGGGGCGGGGTTTAGCAAATGTTTTAGTCAATGTATCGCGATATCATGGGGATTTTCATCAAATCTATTTTTATCATTAGCAACTGTCGTATTTTTGTGCTTAATGCACCTATTTACAGCAGTTACCTGAATGAACTGTAGCTCACTGTGTCACTGGCTGATTGAAAGCACGTGACTCACTGACTGGCTCGGTGTCCCCCCCCCAGTTCTTGATATAATGAGAATAGTCTTTTTCTTGAAAATATGATGACCCCGAAACTGATTAAAGTTGTCCTATTTAAATTGAAAATTCACAGTACAATTGTATTCTCATTTATTATTCCTGCGGCCAAACTCAACAGTTGATTTGGCAACATGAATCTCTTGTTTCTCGCTTCGGGGGAGAGCTGTTCATGTTTTGTTTTTTTTTTTGTCTTTTTATTTAACAGGAAAGATGAGTGAGAAAACATTCCCATTTCCAGCGGCAGCCTTAGGGTGTAGTTGCTGGGGGCTGAGAGCATACTGTAACGCACCCAGTCACATCTGGAAGCTCGCGTGATCAACCACAATCCCGACATGTGGCAATGCAATAGCTGGGTTTCAGTGCTTTGCTGACGGGAACTTTGAGCATCATTCAGTCTTTCACCCGAGTACGGTTTTCCCAACTTGTCGACAGATTTAAACCTGAAATCTTCAGTTTGCACACAAGCGGCTGTAACTCAGCCTACCGAGAGGCTATTATAAAGACTTGATCCATAGAAATGACATGCATATAAAAGATCAAACTTGTGCCATAAAAATCCAATTGGATTTGTTGTTTCTCTGTAAAGGCCTTTAGGTCTCCAACGGTAATTGCAGTAATGAAGCTTTTAGCAAAGGAAGACAATTATCCGTCTAATTTGATCATCACATTAGTGATCCACCTCCATCATTATCCAATGACTTTACTGCGAACTGTTGTCAACAAATGATCATCCTGGCTGGATAATATTCAAACTATCTTACCTGTTATGTCTCTCGACTGCCATCGCTGTCTTTATCACTTTGCCTCCTCATCACTCAACCAACACTAGTGCCCCCTCTATGCCTTTCGAGGGGGATGTCAGAATTGCTGGTATTTGTACTTTTAAATTGGTCTAATTGACAAGGTCAACGCAGAAGTCAGATGAATAATTAAATCTACATTTCTTTAGGTGGAGGAACACAACTCATGACTTTATGGTAATTATATTGTCTGAGGACCGCCAAGGACACCAGAACTGACAGTATATGATGTTTGTCATATCATACATTCAACACACAGCTGCAATATTAACAAAAGTTTGACAAATATTTACACATTATCATGTACTTATCACTGACGGTTACACAATTATAATGATCTTGATTTGAAATGACATTTTCAGTCTCGAAATGTGGTCAATTTCTTGGAAACTCCCATCTGGTATTTCAGGCTACAGTCCAGAGACCGACAGGGTTTTAACAAACCAGCCTCCCAAGGTGAGACCCCACAAATTCATAGCTTGGGTAAAGTCCCCAAACGACATGTTGAGTACAAGGATGATTAAATGAACTCACCAGGGTGAGAGGCTACATCAACTCTGATTTCATCTTGGCCTGCAAAAGTAGCAATGACAAATATACTTTTTATATTACAGTGGACTGCATCTTTCAATGCATTTTGGTCCTGTAGTGAAGAGCATTTTACTATTGCCCAGATATGTGGCTGAATAATTAATGAGCCCTCAATTTAAAATGCTAATGGTGTAATGGTTGTGCTTGTATTGTGCTGCAAATGGTACATTAAAGAACAGAGAGATAATGTACAACATATTGACAAAACAATCCAAAATTACAGAAATGTATGAATACACTAATAAAAAAATACTCAGATTTACTTTAATTTACCCGACTTATCTTTTAATACTATTTAACATATCCTATACATACTCAATTAAAAAATGCTAAGCATTTATAGATATTTGATAATTTCTCTAAATATCAACAGGGCTGCCTGAAAACATGTGACCAAATTGTACATTATGTAACAGCTTTAGCCATTTAAAAAGAACACAATGTCCGAGGAAGATATATTTGATTTGAAATGGTTGATCCATTGAGAGACCAAATCTAGCTTTGGGCATGTTTGAAGACCTCGCCATTGTGAATCACTTCGAGGCATCATTTAAATTCAAATGGAAATTAACTCTGTAATGTTTGCGTAGCCATGTAGTGGAGCTGCAGGCTTTGCGTTACTAAATACACAAACAGGCTTTTCCTATGTCCAAGAACACACGTCCATCCACACACATTCACTCACAATAGTTAAAGCTACTACAAGGAACTTTCATTTTGTGTATATTTTGGCGGCCCCTGTGGACGAAAGTGGTGTTGTTTCCGAGCACCACAATCCATTCAGGAACGCTCTTATTTTACTGCAGCGGGTTCTGACAGTCTGTCTGGTTCTCTTGTGCTCTCCCTTCTCTCCAGCTAGATTGGCAATACGGCCTGGGTCTCCAGCTGCTCTGCTCGTGGCTGGAAGAGGAGCCGCTGCCACTGGGTTTGGGGCTCTCCTCCCCCTGCCAGGTCAAAGGTGACAGCGAAGCCAGAACTGGATCGGTGAACGGGTCGCTGGTGGAGGCCCCCCCCCCCCGCTGGAGTCGGAGTTGATGGGAGTTTCTGGTGAACCTGCCTGATTTCATCTGATTTTTGCGTCGATTCCAACTCGGTGGCATCGATGAAAAGCATGGAGACTAACTATATAGAAATAGCCAATCATCCCTCCGATGGTCTCATTTACTAATGTAGGTCATATGGGCATCAGTATTAAATGGAGAATGCTTCATAACCAGTTAAAACTTCCAGTAACTTTGAATATGTTGCCAAACCGCACTGCCAAACTACTCAACCCTTACCTGCCCACCACTCTCTGGCTATCTGTATTTTGTTGCTTTCTTCTTTGTTCTGCTGTGTTGGTTTCCGTCTCCCTTTCTCTTTTCTGGATCTCCTCCCTGTTTTTACCAATTCCCCTCTCTCTTTTTCTCTGATGTTCCTTTGTGATGTTCTTTTCTCATTTTTGCCTTTTTGCCCCCGCCTCTCTTCAAACATGGATATAAATCATTAGAGTATTATCAATTCCAAACTTCATCATTTGGGCAGCAGCCAAAGGAGGTTTTTATGAGCAAAGTGGCTGACCTGTAACTCACAAACACACACACACACACACACACACACACACACACACACACAGTCTGTCCAGCTTGCTGGCACCACCTAGAGCCAAAACTTTCCCTCTGAGGCCTCATAGCTGTGGCTGGTGAACTCAACTAACCTGTCTGCCAAAGCAGATTTGTTCATTTAGTCTCTGAGAGACAAATTTGGAATTGTTTTCATACAATGTTTGCCACTAAACTTCACTAACCCTGCCCAAGGGCTTTGCCATTATAATGTATTCTCTCTGAGACAAGTAGAATTTAGTAGACCAGAACCACATAAGGCTTGCAGGGAGGAATTACAGTCAGAGTAAAATAAAAAAGGTGGATTATCATGAAGTGGAACTGTATATAATAAAGTGGAGTTGATGAACATCCTTAGACTTCTAATTAAAGAGTAAATCTGAAGGGGTTACACACATAATTGCAGTGGAACATGGCACAATCAAAGCATACTGGAAACAAACAGAATGAAATACAAAAAGATAATGTAATATTTTATAGTTAATGAGTCCAGAAATAATCTAATGAATGATTTAAAAAAAACTGCAAATATAAATGTGTATGTTTGCAAGTTCCCTTTCGTTTCCAGTGGTTCTACAATATATGAAATCAAAGGGAGATCCACCAATCAGCTTGCAGTGTCAGTTGTATTAGCAAAGTTGCAGTCAGAATACTGATCGATCCTCACTACCCGCTGACACATTTACCGACTCAGAGCGAAGTAATGTTAACAAATACACTCGATAATAAACTATTTATATGTAATGCATTCATTTTTTTACTGGCTATTTTATTGTAATCCAAAGCACACTGTATTCTGTATACTGTATTTCAAAGAAAAAAAGAATTATATGTAGTTTATGAGAGATGTCCTATGATTTTAATCCTCAAGATTCCTACAAACAATGTGTGAAGATTTCACATCAACAACTAGGTTTCTCAGTAGAGATGAGTAACGTTATACTCAACCCGCCCTGTTGCAAATGTGTAATGTGTGAAGGTAATGAAGATGGCTGACAGCTGACAGGAAGCAGCCAATCAATCACAAGAACTCCAGTAATTAATCAACTAACCTCTCACACTGACACCACTCATTAACATGTTGATTCACCTTTAAACTAATTACGATCAATTAAAACAGTTAAAAGCAAATCTCAAGAGGAGTGGTCAGGTTGTCAATCAATCAATCAATCAATCAAGGGAAACGTCTGAGAGAGCCAGAAGGAGCGAAGTAGTTAGATGAGAGGAGGATGGAGAAAAAAATAAGGGAGGATAAAGGAGAAGGGTGGGGGGGGGGGTGGGGTGGAAAGATGTGTTGAATAAAGAGGAAGGGGAAAAGAAGGATGAGGTTTAATACTGAGTTGAACTTTCTAAAAGGTCCATTCTACAAGCTACAATATGCTGAATGTGTACATTAAGAATACTGGTTTGACTTCCATGTATTGAACGAGATAGTTCTGAGAGGAGAACCACACAGACATCAATTCCATAGTGGTCGTTCTTTAAAAATCAAACACGAGCAACATTTGGCTTGAGGTGTCTTCTGGGGTCACATTCCACCTAATAAACTCATCATACCCACAGATTGGGAAATTATGCAGAGTTAATATAAAATCATTAACTGAATTAATTGCAGCTTCAATTCCTTAATTGTCCCAATTGTCCACAGTCCTGCAAGTGGCACATGTGACCAATACAGTAAAAACTTATACTGGGTCATAAAGAAACCTCTTTCTCAAATCTAAACATTTAATGGCAGTAATCTCAAGAGTAAGTAGTAAAACAGCTGGATTGAATTTGCTGGTTCAAGGGATTGAATGTTTATATAATACCAGCTATAAAACAATATTTCAACACATATTTGGTACTTAGCAATCTCTTGCTCAATGCAATGACACTACTGTCTACCTCTATAGCCAGTTTTGCAGGTGCTACATTTTCATATAGATAAACGACGAGTCTGAAGAAAGATGATATTAATTTAAAGAGGCTCAGAAAGGTTGTTCAGTGATGACAAAGACAGATGGTAATAGCCCTATGAAAATCAGCAAATTACCATAATTACTGTCTTAAAGGACCATGGTGGAAAACGGTGTGAATGAAAAAAAGGTGTTTAAGAAGAGAAGATGCAGAGGGGGGTGGGGGGGGGGGGTGGGTAGTCGTGTATGAATATCTTTGAAAGCGATCCGCGTTCTGTGTTTTGTCAAACATGACAAGTAAACACCAACATGACGTGTCCACGTTATCTTCAGTGTTTTTCTTTGCCAAGTTATACAGAAACAGGGCCCAGCTCTGACAGCACATGGCACACGTGCTCCCGAGAGGTGACATTTTGGATGGGTGCACACCTTAGTCTTCTTGCCTGAGTCTGCTTGGTATTTTGGTGACTTGCTGTGAACTTGAATGTGCTGTGAAGTGAGAGGCGAGGCACAGTAGAGAGTGTGCCGGTAATAATCGAGTGGCACAGTGAAATTTCGGTGTCAAGCATGGCCATGATTGACTTGCTTGTGCTGCACGCCTACACAGACCAGGTCAATGAAGGCACACTGTACTGTTTCCATGACTTTAGTTTACACTAGTTTAACTTTAAAACAATGCACACACAAATAATAAAATGTTCCCGATATTGTAAGGGGATTTGTGCAGCTGATTTGTTGGCCATGATTGATGCAGGCCCATGAAACACCTGCTGATCATTTTAATCACAGCCTATTTCCATCAGTGTTGCAGGTGCGCAACAAATATCAAACACAGCTCCATGCCCAGTGTACATTCTGATGTTGAATGGACTTCATGCACCATGCACAAGGGATTCACAAAAGGGGGTCAATAGTGTTTAAAAGTACCAAACAAGTTGTGATCTGATGCCATGTCCACATTACTCCGTTTCCATTTGAAAACGCATACGTTTTGCTACGTTTACACTAAGCGTCCACACTATGCCGGCGTTTTCAAGCAACGAAAATGGAGGAGTTTGAAAACGATGATGCCCACAACCGCGTTCGCTACTTGATTGGTTGTTAGCAGTCATGACGTGTCATTCCCTGATTCGTCACATGCCTATCACCTGACCCTTACCCGGAAGCTCATAAACAACAACATTGATTACCGATCAACTACCAGGTTAATTCAACATGGACAACTGATTACAGGTGTTGCTGACCTTGTTGTCTTTACTAGCAGCTGTTGTCCAGTTAAAGTCTGCATTATTACGGAGGAAGCAGCTGTTATTGGAGCGATCAGCGAGCGGCGTGACCAGCGGCGTTATCAGACCTACGGAGCGACCGTCTGAAGTCACGGTTAGCGGCTTTAGGGAGGGTGATGGACACAAAACGGAGGACTTTCCTTTTCTTATTAATGCTTATTTTGTTCTCGACATCTATTGTGAAGTCCACAGATACCGCCGTAGACAGTGTAGCAGTAAATGCTTTACAAAAGCATTTACTGGTTTTGTAAAGGAACTAAAGCAGTAAATGCTATTCAGTAGGACAGATAGTTAAGCCGCCAGCAGAGCTACGAGTGAGAACAGACAACAACGAAACCGAGAGGAAACGAGTGAGAGACGTGTGTTGACCACTTTTATGGACCCATAATCTAGTAAACCTTTATGTGTAAGTGTTGATTTTGAAGTAAATTTGATATGTGTGAGAAAGATATAGAGCAAGACCTGCAGCGTTGTAACTAAGTCTGAAAAATAAAACTAAAACTTTCTACGAACTGTGTCTGAGGAAGATTTTAGAGAAGATCTTAAGTATCAAACACGACCTTTCATTATTAAAGACTACTTTATTACTCTGTCGTATTTTTTTAACTAAGCAACCAATCTACTTCCTGTTTACATCGACACCCACGTGCATGCCCAGTGTACGCGAAGAGTCACGTGATATTCGTGTTCAGGCGAAAACGATGCTGATGGACGGAGATCGTTTTTGTTTGAAAGTATGGATGTAGCCTGAGACTAAAACAAAACATGGGAGAGTATGAAAAACAAGTACAGTATGACATCTAAACACTATCTGTTCCAGAATGTGCAGTTGCTCCGCACATTCAGTTCTCGTTATCACTGTTGGGAGACGTGGACGATGACAAACGAATTTCCTAATGTTTTCCACCGGTTAGGGTTTGTGTCAAAGAAATCGAACTGTACGCCTATGAGCAGAAAAAGAAAAGAGTGCGAGAGAGAGAACTGGACTCAAGGGAGATGCAGAAAAATGGAGACAGTGAGAGAAAGTGTAGTCGAGAAGAGCCGGGAAGACTGAAAGTCAACAAGCGTAATTAACTGTCAGTTGAAAAGGGGGAAAAAAGGCAGCAGAGAGAAAGAGAAAAAAAACAAAAAAAGGCAAAAGAGAAAAGAAAATGTCAAAGAAGCTAAACTAGAACCTTAAAAAAAGAACCATCATTAAATTAACAAACCCAAAGAGATCTGGAGGTACTGTAGACACAGACTTGTGTTTATCATAGATGAAAGCGCTCTGCATATGTATGTGTGCAAATGTGTACATTAAGATGCCCGTCTCTCTTGATGTAATCACATTACCCATCTTACCTTGATAATGTGCGCTGAAGCCACGGTAACGGTGGTTGGCATCAGTCACAAAATGCAGTCGGAGCCAGTTCTTGTTGCTGACGATGGGAGAAGGGACATTACTGCCTGACAACCTGAGAAAGAAAGACAGGAAGAACATTGTAAGAAATTGAAACAAACACACACTAAGAAAACCTTTCCCTTATTTTCCCAACAAATCCAAACATGAGTGTGTGGCGAACATGCCTTGCTGTTCAGGTCTCAAACATTTGACATTTGACATGTGGACATTTGACTAGTTTAAAAGAAAATAACGATTGCTGTTAGTTATCCGAGGAACCTTTATATCACTTGAGGCCCTGGGGCTAAGGACGTTTTCGTGGCCATTCCCTTCCTTCACAATATGCCTTGGTAACCTTAATTCAATGGACAGCGTCAAATATAAAATGGAGTGTCCACCTTATCGGTAAACAAAATAGGAAACTCATTGTAAGAAAATACGCTCCAAAAGATCAGTCTTTTCAATTAAAAATCCGCAGAAAATCCCAGTCAAAGGGAAATTTCGGCAAAATTTAAACTGAAAACTGCAATTTCATCATTTTGAACCATTATTATAGATAATGCAAAAAAAGCTTAACATCAAAACGTACTATAATTAATAATTTTATTATTTACGCATTTAATTTTGCTGGCAGTGTTTGCCATGTAAGATTATATTCTGTTGGATAACTCAATTGAGCAGATTCAGAAAACCTTCAAATGAAGGTAGACCCTGAGTTCCCAGCTCCAGACCTTCAGACCTTCCCATTTCTCTCAGCACACCTGAGCCAGCTGATGTCGGCCCTGATCCAACAGTTAGGGCTGCTGAGTTGCATCAGGTGTGTTCAAAACATAATGCAATGACTATCCTGACTACTTGTGAGGCCCCTGGTACTCGAGGCCCTGGATTTTGGCCCCCGGTAAGCCCATGCATTACCGCGCCATTGGTTGTCATGATGAAAACACACGTCAGTGTCAGGCTGTAAAGTGTGTCGCACTTTGTTGCTCCGCCGCAAAGCCGGAAGCCGTGGTAGTGACAGACCGACATTTACATCTATGTTTCACCTTTGGTGCAAAAGAGACAGCCTCCATGGCAGGACCTGTGTTACACGTCAGACAGTGAGTTATTCCTTGGCTTGCCGAAAGTTTATACGGAACTTAGCCCGCTACAATGGTCACAGTTTGCAATGGCAAATGTCCGCTGCTCTGACCATCCTGCTAAATTGATTTAAAATGGGAATGTCCATTCAAATCCCCTTCTATTTCTATGGCATTAAACTTCGACTGGCTCTTTTAGTCTTTTAGTACATACTTAGAAGGAGCGGAAAAAACACAACAAATTCTGTAGTCATTTTGTAAAAGAACAAAGCCGAAGTCTGTAAAACAAGGTAGTGAAGCTGTAAAGAAAATGTCACGGCAACAACAGACACTAAAAAAAAAAAAATCAGCCTGAGGTTTAGTTTACTTCACTTAAATTTCTGTCGCTTTCTCCGTCTTGCCTGGGTATCTTGTGTCTTTGTGTGTGTAGCTGCTGTCTAGAATGAAGTAAGAACAAAGCCTGTGTCTGTAATAACACTGAGTGATTTACAAAGAGTGTGAGGACCTCACTGTCCAACACAGCCAGTCTGTTACAGCTCCACTCGAAAAAATACTGGGGATTTTGCTGCATGCTAAAGGGCGCCTCAATCGCTCTTAATGATGTAGGAGATTGTTTTTTTCTTATTCTTTCTTCTTGCCAACATTGTGAGATCTTGCCAGCTGCTTAGGGTTAGAGATTTGACCCAGTAACTTTGAGCACAAACTCAATTATCATGATAATTTCTGAGAATTTGAAGGAAGTTGGTGTTGTATTGGATAATTACTATTACTAAATATTTTGACTGCTACTACTAACCTTTATTGTACCTCTTATGCTGTTATATGCAAATCACAAAGGTTTCAAACAACTTCTGGACTATCACACTGCAGTATAATACTCTCAACAATATTAGCCTTTTCACAATGAAGCAATCTTATAAGCTGGGGCTTTGATGGTGCACTGCACTAGTAGATAGGACCCAATTTGCAATTCTTTCATCTAGTAGGGAGGATGAGATCGCTTAATTGGCTGAGCAGATGAACAAAGCTCTTGTGGTTGGCAAAGTGAGAGTTTCAGGTCATTGTTGGCAGCCTTAGAGGATGGGACTGCTTTCCAGCAGACACTTAGAGAATAAAAGACCCTTGGTCCTGTATAACTTCAAATATCTGCAGCTAAAATACAATGTCTGCTGGCAATAATCGTCTTCTATACGTCAATCCTTTGATGTATGGTGCCTTCATCTTGTAGTGTCAGCCACAGGTGCGTTTTCTACTCCCATTACATTTTCATAGTTTTTTTTTTTTTTTAAAGCAATATCACCTTGGCTGTTACATTTGAGACACGAGTATGAAATGGACTGCCCTCTCATGTTCGCTTGTCTCCTTCTATAAACCCCTACTGTTAACCTCCGCAGTCCATTAATAGCCACACACACAGAAATGCATGCTCACGCACACACACATGATTGGTTTAGTGTATACAGTACTTTCCACCTGCACCCTCCAATAACAGCGGTATGAAGTGGAGCACAAGAATGCTGAGCCGGTGTTTTAGAATATGTCTTTGCGTGTGCTGGTTTGTGCTGGTGTGTGTGTGTGTGTGTGTGTGTGTGCGTGTGTGTGTGCGTGTGTGTGAGAGAGGGAGGGTCACCTTGTGCCCTAGATCAGTAGGATTCTCTGATGTCTGCCATTAGTCACACACACAAACATAAATTCACACACAAACGTTAATTCACACACAAACGTTAATTCACACACAAACGTTAATTCATACACAAACATTAATTCACACACAAATGCAAAGTAGTTTCACAGGCCCAGGTAGACAAAACCTGATTTACATACAACAGTGCCAACACTGCAAAACAATAACAACTGTGAATGTAGGTGACCAACATAAATAAAGTAGACACCTATATTATGAGATGTTGATGCACGCTGGGAAAATCTTTTCATATCTGTTTCTACTATTGTTTGATTTTGTCTGTATTGGTCTTTTTTTGTAGTTTTGTAGTTTTGTAGCTTTGTATAACTGCTGGCATGAAAACATGATGGAAATACATGGAACAGACTTTACAAGAGATTTCTATTAATACTGAATTAAAAGACTAAAACGACACTAGTATTGCCACAAGTGAAGTATAGATTCCCATTTAAAGTATGTCGTGTAGCACATGAGAAGAAATACATCTAATATGAATTCATTATAAATGTTGCAAGTGATGTTTTGTTGACGTGGTGAAACATGAAATGCTTGAGCACAGACTGTAAAGGATTATGATGCTTACTAACAACACGCACATAATTCTGAACACGAGCCTCGGCTTCGATCAAATACTTTGGAGAGACAGGTTATGTCAAACACTTGGATAACAATGGGCACAATGTACCAGACCTCTCCTTTCGTCTCTCTTTTTTTATTTATCTTTTTCATCAATCGATACTATTATTTTGCTGACGTTGTTTGTAGGTCAACCTTTCTGTCACCCTCTCTCGTCTCTCTTTACCGCTCTCCTACCCTTCCTCTTTCCCCTCTCCCTTCCTCAGCTCTCGTCGCTGTGTATCTTTATGTGTGCACTCCCTCTCTCGCACACATTATTCATGTTTACAGCTTTCGATTCACTTCCTGTTATGACATCATTACCCAGAGTGCATCATTAAGGGCAGAGTGTGTGGCTATTCAATCTGTTCCAATATTAAAACAGGAATTAAATCATAAATCTATACGGAGAGACAGTGTGTGATGCTAAACTATTAAACTGCATGCTTAGGAAGCACTAAAACAACTCCAAACTGCAGGATGAAGGTACAAATCTCTCACAGGAGGAGCTGGGAGGTCAGAGAAACATGCTGGCGACTAAAAAGGTCACCCATCTGGATCCCCACAGCCGCTGGGAACACCCATAGGTGCCAGGCATGGCACATGAAGGATGCTGGAAGGATGCTGGAAATGGCAACTACATGTATGGATAATTAAAGCTTAAAATGATGCTTTCAGCAGGAAACCTGATATTTCCAAAAATCATCCGTGGCTGAGGTGCTGAGAAGCTAGTTGATTTTCCCCGAGTGGACAATTTGTAATACATTATTAAATCATTCATCTATGTTGATGGCTTCTGTGACTGGTAAGTGTTCTCCCAAGATATCTGCTATAAAGGCACTTCAGAGCTGCCCAGAGGTATTATAGATCATCCTCTGATGGGCTGCAATATTTATTTTTAATGCCTTGGTCTCAGAGGGTGTCCTGTATGTGATTTGACAGTGACATAGGCGTAAAATACATTGGGTGAAGCCAGGCTTAGTGCTAAAAGCTACTGATGCTTTAAAAGTTCTGAAAGTGAAAGTTTTCCTAAGATGTCATGGACCATCATCAAAGCTGGTGGAACAGTTTGTTTGAATTAAATAACAGACATATTCCTCAAAAAAAAACGAATTTAGAAAATTAGGAAGTTTAAACAAGGGCTCTTGATTGTCACCCGGGTGTCCTTACCTTGATTATAATGATACTAGCAGCATAACAGAGTACATTTAGCTAAACAAAAAATACTTATTATTGGACAAAACCTGAGAAAAAGAAACCGTGAAATGGCCTCTAGTTCCTCTGCTCAAAGCAAGTGCCTCTATTGTGAAATAATGTGAATAGGTGTTCTTCTCAGGGGAACCAGAGAAAATAACTTGCTCTAGTGACATTTCCTTCTCGCATAACACCGTTGTATAAAGCACGGTAGATCACGATGCGGTAGCGCCTTATGGGAAAAAATGTCTTATATCGAATGCTCAAAACCCTCATAGGAGTCCGTCAGCAGTCAACCGCCAACAATGATTGTTCCCGGGGATATGCAGGGAGGTCACGTTACATCTATTGTTCTCTGGAAATCATCGATATTACCAAGTGAAGACACTGAAAATGTATGAAGGCCTCCAGTGTTCCATGTTTCTACAACCGTACAACTACATCAAATGAGACAAATGAGATACTGCGATGGAGAGCGACTGTGTGACCGCGTGTGTCTGCAGG